AAGATTGCCAACAATGCTATCACCAATATCGATACGGTCAAATGCCTCAATGGGCAGGCCTTCGAGCACCGGAACTTTGCTGAACGCATTGAGAGATCTGCCACACACTACCTCCGACAAGCTCGACTGAATTCTCTGCAAATCGCTATCATCCGGTGGATGATGTTCGGGATGTTTGTTCAGGGCTTTTGGTATGGAAGCTCGCTTGCACGCGCCGGAAAACTCACATCTGGAGAAGTTCTGAGAACCTTCTGGGCCTGCTTGACCGCAGCTCAGTCCATGGAGCAGGTGTTGCCGCAGATGATCGTGATGGAAAAAGGAAAGGTCGCTGGTGTCGCCTTGAAATCGATAATACAAAGCGGAAGAGAAGACAAAATTGTTAGCGAGGTAAAGGGAACTCGGTATCCAGAACATTGTGAAGGTGATATTGAGGTCAAAAACGTAAGTATGAATGGTTCTTTTCGTTTTATCCGGACGCTAACGAACACCCATGCAGGTATCATTTTCATATCCTAGCCAGCCTGACCAATGTGTGCTCAAGCCGTCGAGCTTTTTCTTCCCCGCTGGGGAAACGACGTTCGTTATAGGCAAAAGCGGCTCTGGTAAAAGTACCCTCAGCCAACTGCTGATGCGGTTCTACCTACCAACCTCAGGCGAAATCTTGATTGACGGCAATCCAATGCAAGAACTCGACATCAACTGGATCCGTAACAACATCACTCTGTTGGAGCAAAAGAGTGTTCTCTTCAATGAGTCTGTGCTCACAAACATCGCCTTTGGTCGCCAGGACCACGCAGCCGTCACTAAGCAAGATGTCAAAGATCCCATCGAGCTGGCCATGCTTGAGAACACAATCGATGGTCTTCCCCAAGGAATCAACACTTGCGTTGGCCCGGGTGGAAGCTTTTTGAGCGGCGGCCAAAGGCAGCGAGTCGCTATTGCCAGAGCGAAATTACGTGACACTCCAATCCTGATCCTGGATGAACCCACCAGCGCTCTGGATCACACTAACCGAATCGCAGTGATGAAAGCAATCCGTGAGTGGCGGAAAGGAAAGACTACTATCATCATCACCCACGACATGTCACAAATCATGGAACAGGATTTCCTGTACATCCTCGAGCAGGGTTCGATTGTGAAATCCGGCTACAGATATGCCGTCGAGGTCAGTCCGGGGAGCGAAAAATACTTCCATACGAAAATCAACGGTCATCTGGAGGCCAAGTCCCAGAACAAGAGGGCTCTGGATGATATGGACATTCCATGGGAGACCTCATCATCGGAGAGCTTAGACACCTTAAGACCCCCAACAGCTTTCCTCGGACATCGTCGGTCCCGAACATCCTGGGCTCAGGGCCACATCCCCTCAAGTTTTCGCTCCGGCTCACTGGACTTAATGACGGGAAGGAATTCGGAATATGTAGTCAGAACTAGGGATTTCCCAGGGTCGCCTTTACGTCTTTCTTTCATGACAGAAGGACCTAGTCCTCAACGGGACTCGAAACAAACAACTATTCAAATTCCCCTGGAAGAAGTCGAAATGATTCACATTGCTGATCAGGGCTTTAAATCGGATCCATGGCCCAATGAACATACCACGAAGGATCTATCAGAAACGAAGCGTAGCCGGAGCTCACATGGCCACCGCAAGAAATCGAAAGAGCAGCAGCTGCCGAAAGAACGAATGACTCCGCTTTCTCAAATCATGGGCACCATTCTATCGACTTTGACGATCAGACAGCGAATCATCCTCTTCCTGGGATTCGCCGCAGCACTAGCCCATGCAACCGCAACCCCGATATTCTCATATTGTCTGTCGCAACTGTTTGGAACATTCTATCCTGGAGCCAACAGTGAACACCTGACAATGACATGGTCCCTTGCTGTACTAGGGGTGTCTCTCGGAGATGGCCTTGCGTCCTTTTTCATGCATTACTTCCTAGAACTCTGCGGTGAGGCTTGGATGGATTCCTTTAGGAAGAACGCCTTTGAACGAATTCTCGATCAACCACGGGCCTGGTTTGAGAAGGATGGTAACGGATCTCTCAGACTCACATCGTCTCTCGATCAAAATGGAGAAGACATGCGAAACCTGCTAGGCCGTTTCGCTGGGTTTGTGCTTGTTGCTGCAGCAATCACTGTCATGGCAATTATCTGGAGCTTGTTTGTTTGCTGGAAGTTGACACTCGTTGCTCTTTCCTGTGGGCCTGTCATTTATATCATCACTCGAGGCTTCGAGGGAACAAATGGATTATGGGAGAGACGATGCAACGATGCGAACAATATCGCCGCCGATGTCTTCACTGAGACCTTTTCGGAGATCCGTACTGTGAGAACATTGACATTAGAAGGTCACTTCCATCGCAAACAAGCCAATGCAATCGCGCGCTGCTTGTTGCTGGGGTTGAAACGTGCCATCTATACAGGCATGCTTTTCGGTATGGTAGAATCGACAGTCATATTTTCTAGCGGTAAGTTCGCTGATCTTTGACTTGCTTGATATTGTTCTGACTCTCCAAAACAGCCTTGATCTTCTATTATGGAGCGGTTCTTGCGGCATCTCACGAGTTCAACGTGAACGATGTGATGATGGTATTCTCGATACTACTATTCAGCATTGGATACGCTGCTCAGCTTCTCTCATGGAGTTAGTAGGCCCCGAACCACTTCGAAATACACCACTGACCCCTTTATAGTTCCCCAAATTAACACCTCCCGCGAGATAGCGACGCAGCTCATTCGCCTTGCAAAACTTCCACACGATGGATCCCACGAGCACCTCGGCGGTTTGACGGTTTCAAAGCTCACCCCAATCAAGCTCACCAATGTGAATTTCCGATATCCCTCTCGGCCAAACACAACAGTGTTGCAGAATGTCTCGATTTCCATCCCACCCAACTCCTGTACTGCGCTGGTAGGACGATCCGGGTCGGGGAAATCCACAATCGCGTCACTCCTATTATCGCTTTACGAAGCTCCAGCCTCCGAAACTGGACAGCCCACAGTTACACTCGGCGGCGCAGATATCCTTCGGCTGCATATTCCTACCCTCCGCTCGCAGATCTCCATCGTATCGCAACAACCAACTATTTTCCCCGGCACTATCCATGAAAATATCAGTTACGGGCTAGATCAGTACTCGCCTCTAGCTTCATCTCATAGTGTCCGAACTGCCGCCCAGGGAGCAGGGATTGATGATTTTATCTCCTCTCTCCCTCGTGGGTACAATACTGTGATCGGAGATGGCGGAGTTGGTCTTTCCGGTGGCCAGAAACAGCGTGTGGTCATTGCACGGGCTCTTTTGCGTCAACCTCAAATCCTGATTCTCGATGAAGCCACGTCCAGCTTGGATCCAGAGGGTGCGGAGATCGTGCGGCAGACAGTGCAGCAGTTGGTGGCCGTGCGCCAGGGGCTTACTGTCATTATTATCACGCACTCGAAGGAAATGATTGAGATCGCGAATCATGTCGTTGTTCTTGACCAGGGAGCCGTCGTAGAGGACGGACCGTATCAGGCTCTGGCAAGAATGAATGGTGGCAAGTTGCACGCCTTGCTCTGTGATCCTGAGGAAGTCGGTGGTTAGATTGTTTCCAAGGTTCATTTGATCATTAGTCTGGATATGTACATTTCCGATTTCCTTTCGCTAGTTCCTGTACCTATTGGTCAATATCATTGCAATTTGCGTCATCGTTGTTACCAATCAATATGCCCAAGTAAATATCCCCAACACCACGTAAAGATTGTACTCCTATTAAAACCCGATAGTGTAAAAGTGTAATGGAGAATACCGATGTGGATAATATATTAGTTCAGACGGAAGAAGAAAAAGCGGTAAAATTAAATCGACCAAAGCGAAGTCCCGCATGGGAGGTTTCATACCCCCTACAACATCTCAGCCTTACAAGCTTATATTGTACAGACCAAGCGCCCGCATCCAATTCACATAGCTTCCACATCTCCCGGAGTGACAATGTCAAAGCCAACTCTGATTTTCGCGGCGGGCGCATGGTACCCGCCCACCATCTTCGACCCAATCATCAAGCAACTCGCCGACTATACCTGCCACAGTATCGCATTTCCCTCCATTCAACAAGCCAGCTCAGTCGTCGACCTTCAACCAGATATCGAAGCCGTGAGATCTATCACTCAACAGGAGGCAGATGCTGGCCATGACATCGTCATCATCGCGCACAGTTGGGCCGGATTACCAGTGAGCAGCGCGTTGGATGGACTAAGCAAGTCCGAGCGTGAAGCAGCCGACCAAAAGGGCGGTGTCGTGAAACTCATCTTCATTGCCGCTTTCCTACCTAGCATTGGCGAGGGTTTGATCGGCGCGTTTGGTGGGATAGCCCCGCCGTGGTATGTGCGCGATGTAAGTTGTCCGTCAGATTTCTATTTGCAACTTGCAAATTATCTATGTGACCACTGACATTTATTACAGGAAGAAAATGGAACCGTGACTGCTAGCGATGCGCTCGTGTTGTTTTTCCATGATGTTCCCAATGGCGCGGAGTGGGTTAAACTTCTCAAGCCACATTCTTGGGCGACTCAGAATGCCCCCGCTACCGGTGCAGCGTACATGAGCATTCCATCTGCGTATCTTTTAACTGAGGACGATCGCGCAACTCCGTTGCCGGTTCAGCAGGTGCTGGCGGAGCGGGCTCGACGGAAGGGGGCGCAGATTGAAACCGAGAAAATCAAGACAGGACACACGCCTTGGTTGGCTATGCCGGGTCAGGTGGTTGATTACATCAAGAAGCATGCTAGGGAATCGTCAGAGGGAACTGGCTCTTCTTTACAATGATGCAGGTCGTCATTCAATTCGCAGACACCTTGCTCTCTTATTTAGTGCAAGGGATAAGAATATAGAAACACAAAATCACATTGACCTATTTCTAACAATCTGAAAGAGAGAAGACCGACCGAAAATGACGTATATACAGTAGCATTTACAATATACGACAACATGACCAAATACCACCGAGACAAACCTATGTTTCTCAGGTGTTGCTCTTCCTGTGCGACAGCTTATCCACAAAGCTCCTCAGCTCATGGAAGTGGCTCGGCTTCTTTGCATTCTCCACGGGCTGCTGGACAGGCGTAGCATCTTCCTCAATGGCAGACTGCTTAGCAGAGTTACTAGAACCGCCGCCAATGGTGACCGTCAAGAGCTTTGGATTACCATCAAAAACACTGCCAGACTGATCAGGGCCATTGTTAGGCGCAACATCATCATAGGGGAATGCATAGCCCCGAGTATCAATGTTCACAGAGTGACAGATGCGCGAGTAATGGTTCGTGACAGAGTTCTTGTAGTAGTTTGAGACCTTCTCCCCGTTCGGCTGGCTACCATTTATCAACAAGGTTGAGCGGTTGAACGCAGCCGCGAGACGAGCTGTAATGGCGTCTTTGGTGCCATTCCCAGAAACAGCAAAGGACCCAGAGCTGTTGCTGAAGATGTCTCCAGTAGACGGCTTGGTGTAACTAATACCTGGAACTGAGAAGTACAAGATATCGGAAGCAACTTTGGCAGTAACATCACCGGCGGCAGCCTGCGTATTGACTGTCAAGGTATTGTTGGTACTATTTGCGTAGTAAGACCAGACTTGATTCACATAGCCCTCGTAGTAACCATTGAACAAAGAATTGTTGAGGGTTCTTCCCGTGTTTGGAGAAACGGCCCGCAAGTTGACCCCGTTGTGCTGGATTATGAGCTTATCCCAGCCAGCTTTATCCTTGTTGTTCTGCTCTCTGAGAGCATTGCAAACTAGATCGAGACCATTGGCTGGCAGACCCTTGACGGTCTGGGTTGCACCAGCTCCGTTGGTTAGGGTCATGGCGATGGGCATCGACACGAAGTCGACGTAGCTAAGATTGGCATAAAGCTGGTAGTTATTCCAGGTGAATTCGCAAAAGGACCACACCAGATTATAGTTAGCGTCCGACGGGTTGGATACCGAAGGCTCAACAAGGGCAGGTCCGGGGTTCAGATAGAATGTCAATTTTCTGTCTCGTGCGAACCACAATCGTGCTCCTGCAAGGTGCGGAATAGTGATGGTGGTGGTACTTCCGGATGCACCCAGCGGAATCGCACAATCCGCGCTCAGGTTGGTCCCAGTAGACGATGGTGAGGTCGGGTAGTAGGGTGTCTTGCCATCAGATCGCAAGAGGAAAAGGGCATTGTTGTTATCAAGCGCCTGGCCTGTAATGTAGGCGTAGACCGTGTTAGAACCGGTGTTGTTCTTCAAAGCAAAGTTTAATGTTGCCATTTTGTGCGATATCAGTGCTTTGAGGTGTTTGGAGAAGAATTCAGGTGGACTGAGGTCTTGAAATGATTGGTGCAGAAGCCCAATGAGAAAGCCGTATCAAGATCCACAAGGCTGCGGATGAGGGGTTTGAAGTTGTTGCCGACATTTTAGTTTGCAATGGGGCCATAATATATACTATCGCTCGACGTACTTTGATGAGTTCGTGCTAAACTCATGGCATCAGGTAGGGCAGGGTGACCAGGACCCTGTGATGCAACGTGGCGATGACCTCAAGTTCCGAGGAGAGGGTGGCTTCGACCCCATTGGAGCGGCTACCTAATTTGTCGATCATAGTTGAGAACAGGCTGCGCGTCAATATCAACAACAGTATACACCAATGTCGATCTAAGCCACCGCGGGACGGCACGATCATGCCGGGTCTCCAGGTGATCCAATTCCCACATGTTCATCTTGGCCACTTTATGCGGGGAACAACTTCCAGCTAAAGATTATGTGAAAACTCGTCAATTTGGCGAATCGAAAGGCCGACCGAATACTTGGCCTTCAAGGCAACCAACTTACGGTATCCTGGAGAACTCAGTTCTATCAAGGGGGACGCGTTCACCTTGGAAAGTTGGCCATTGGGTCAGCATCAGGTCATCCACGTCTTTATTCTATTGGCTAATATAACCATTTGATATTCCTCTACCGCCACGAGACGACCATTAAGATTTTGAATTTCAAAAAGTACGCTATTCTTGAATTGCTTTTCCGAAAAGTAGATCATATGACGACGTTAATAGTGGGTTTTCCAGCACCTGGGTTCTGAGGCTGAAAACCCTCTTAATGCACCACAGACAAATGCCTAGAACTTTGAATATTGTTGCATAGAATGCTTTAGTTTGATAGATTTAATGGGTTCAGGTTTTTGTACATGGTCCCTCACTAGAGGAAAGGAATGTTATCACGCGGCGATAGAACATTGAAAACAGCATTTGAGCATAAGATGATCAGATGCTAGCATATCCCCTCTATCCTCTCTTGGTCTAGTAAAACGTCTGATTTCCTAATGACTTTCAAGTTTTCTCGAGATACTAGGAGGAGGGCTAAGAATTTTAAAATGTTGCTGGCTTGCACAAAACCAATATGTTCATTATATGTTCATTCTAGAGACACATATCTTGCAAGGCTGTAGATTCTTTAGACAATGTACCAAACATACAATAGAACATGGTTTTCGACGACTTTTATGAAGCTCTCAGTAGTATTAGGCTTACCTTCCTTAGAACTCCTACAGCATTTGTATATATCCAAGCAGCTCAACTTGAGATATAATAAAGATCTAATATACCAAAATTCATTTTCAGATTCACTCACATGTCATAGTCTAGCAATATCCAAAAACTGCAAATGAGAGGAAACATCATCCACGTGTTTTATCTCACGCCTTCGCATCTCGAACAAAACCATCCGATGAACGTTAAATTGCCCGGGTAAGGCGCGGCACATTCTTTAGTAAACTCACATGTAGAGTTCAATCTTGATATTTTTGAATAAAGATTTAAACACTGGCAGGAAGTGTCTTCCCAGTGGAGTTTCAAGTGTGTCTAGAACCTTTGCCAAGATTTTTAAGTGGCGGTCTATCAAAGTTGGTGTCTGTACGACAATGCTCAAGGGTCAAGTCAGGATCACTCAATTCGATTTGATCGTAATTGCACTGATACTTTAGTTTACTAAAAACTATGGCTGGCAGTCCCGACTACGATAGTGACATATCGTCACCAACAGTAATAAGAAAATTTGCACTTTGTTCGGTTTAGCGGGCCCACAGTAGACATGGTGATCAACTCTACTAGAACGACATGACGAGTATACTATGCAGGCCTGTAGCATATATGGATCGCCTTATATTTTGTAGTAATAGCTTGAATACCAGTTGACGAGGAGTCGTCAGCATCAACATTGGCAGGGGGGCATGGGACAGGAACATACTTTAGGCGTGACAGTGAGAGACTTTCTCAGCCCGGGTGATCAGCAATTTATCTAGCGGGGGCTCAGTCATGCCTAGGAGACATCATATGTCTATATAATTCTGGTTAACCCTAAGCCATAAACAAAGTCGACTTTGAACTGGATATTAACATTCCGCAGATACGGCAAGGTATGGGAGAGCAAATGATAAAGCAAAGCCGAATCTCAATTTGGAACAGAGGCAAAGGTAGACGGGGAGCGAGGGCCAGTCTAACAATCGTGTTGTCGGCATCTTAGGATTCATTGTCTTGTCTCAAATAGTTGTGTTAGATCTAATTATGAGATGGCTGAGAATAAGACATGTCATTCATTTATTAGAGAGATTTCTCCGGGCATCTCCATAAGATATAATATAGGATAATGGCCACTTCCCAAAGACTGTACAGAACTGCCACTTTGGGTTAGGGAAAGACTTGAGCCTCTGGGGAAAAGATTGGCCAAGTTTCTGACGTCGCTGTCAGCCCATGTGCCATTTACTGCACCTCACCAGCCACTATAAGCACCGACTACATCCATTCAAGAATCTCGAGGAAAATATGATAGCACTCTAATTAGTTTCGAGCAGCTCTGCCAGTTGAAGCATTAGAATGTTCCCGGGCGATGTCGTTCCACTATTGGTCTATGCTAATATACTTGCTACGAGACAATGCCTTCTCATACTTTCAGTACCATGTCATGCATGATCTGGACTAAGCGACACAATTCAAATTGAGGACACGATTAAAGCACCATGATCATTCGCTCGACACGGGTTACCATAACCCCTTCGTGTGGCACGGATCCCAACGGATATTGGCCGCGACGGCACAAAGCCGAGCAGCAAGACGGCACACTTGAAGGGGAATCCGTTATCGTATCAATATTTCCGAGAAGTACCGAGACATGCTGGTGGAGACAGATTATCGAAGAAATCTGATCGCCATTGAGTTAGGCCTGTACGGAGTACTCCGTGTGTTGTAGAGAAGGGGGTGTTTCAAATGGCAAGGAGGGCTGAACGCAGTGTTTCAACAAAACTACGGAGTACTCTAATTTACATCTCACGATTTGGGAGATTAACGAGATTGTTTTTTTTTCCATGATGACACCATCACCAGCCCTAATAAGCCCTAACGGTGGGAGCTTGACGGATTCGCGATTTGAATATTCCAGATGTCTCAGCACGATCTCATACCGGTTGGTCCCGAACGCAAGGGCGTATCTATTTTCGTATAACTCGTCTAACGATCTTCCCTTGCTGCAAAGGGACTCGTGCAGTTTATCTCCCACGATCGAAATTCAATAATGAAATCAATAATGAAGGGAATATGTTGTAAGAAGATTTGAGATTTGAGATTTGAGATTTAAGATGAGTAAAGGGTTCAGCCCCCGGAGGCGAAACGGGCAGGGATCGGAGAGTGATCGCTGTGGAAACCATTTTCAAACAAGGATAGTGAGAATGAAATGATTGGTAGACAATTGCAGATAGTCAGATTATTACAGTCAAGATCGACAATTCTTCTAGTAAATTGAATACTCCGTTAAGTAAATTAGAAACAAGAAACAAGAAACCCAGCCTCCACCCGGCCACGCCAGCGTTTCAATGCTTGGCGTGTATAATAATAGCCACCTCTAGTGAACGGTTCTGTTCAAGGCTGACGCGCTTTGTCTTTTTTCTCATTCTTCGACTCCTTTGAAATCCGGGGATTTTATTCCATGCCTTCCATTAAGGATTTCTAGGCCGAGTTGCCTGTCCAACATCATGTACATTCCACAAAAACGTCAAAATGGCCAAACGAATAAGAACAACATATTCATTATCGTATGTGATTTCCGATCCTTCCGACAGCCCCTATGTTGACCTCGTATCTAGTGTGCCGTGAGCATCATATTTGCTGTCGCACTCTGTGTGGGCATCTTCTTCCTCCTTCGCTATCTACGACAACGTCACTTCGAACCGAAATACCTGCCGGGGCAATTTTTCAAGCGAAAATGGAAGAAATGGAGCCCAGGGAGTACATCATACGGTCAGGTCCCGAATCAAACGGGTGGCCAAGATACCTCGTATCGTGGAGCTGGCACAGCACCAGAAATGCAGGCCACTAATGGCGTCCGCCGCGATACCTCGATCCGTTCGATTATGACCCTACCCCCTTATTCTCAAAGTCCAAAGCCGACCGAGCAAGTCATCGCCCGAGAGGGTGAACGCGGTGGGATGGATATGGTCGTGGAATACCCCGAAACTGCGGAAGAACAGGAAACTCGCCGTGAAGAACAGATGGACTCGATGTACCAGATTCGCCTGCAGCGCCGTCAGGAACTAGCCGATCGTGAGGCACGACGTCGGGAGCGACGAGAAGCCCGGGCGCGTGGGGATTCCGCTCGTCTTGAACAGTTGAATGCGGAACGTCGCCGCGCAGGAACCAACAGTGCAGTCAGCGCAAGCGCGATCCTCGCCGAACATCAGGCGAGAGAGCGGGACCGACGGATCTCTAGTGTTAGCTATGCTGAACTTGGGCGTGTTCGCCACGATGGATCACGGCTTCGAGCCGACTCGCACAATTCTGACAACCACGATTCGGATAGCCGACCGCTGTTGCAAGGTGACGCTGTTAGCTCCACCGCGCAATCGTTCGAGCCATCCAGCGTCGACTCTCGAGGCCAGTCTGGTGCTTCCTCGTTTATGAGCGAATCGCATAATTCAACTGAGCTTGAACGACTAACTCTGGCTCCGACCACGACACAAGGCTCAAGTCGACCATTATCACAAACCGACGACGGAGATTTGGGGATGCTCAACATTCCTCCACCCCCCGACTATGAGTACCTGGACTGGGGTGATGCCCCTGCGTATCAAAGTCCTGTTACAGAACAGAATGAACAAGCGCGGCAGCTCCCACCCATCGACCGTTTGCCTTCGATCCACGTCAATTTGCCCAGTCCCATGACTGTGTCTCCTGTTACCCCGACTCAATCTCAATTCCAGAGTATCAACATCGATGGACCTCCAACGCCGACAGAGCGGTCACCGGGAATCCGAATGGTTTCAGCGGGATCAACAACGTCAACAACGTCAACAACGTCAACAACTACCACCCGGGGTCCACCACCCATACTGCCCGATTCGACCACCACTCCTGAAAGCAGCCATTGAGTGAACTCTGCTAGGAAATACTTATAATATACCGCTCGGCACGCGCACGATTCACGACCTGTATTAGCATTAGTCTCGGGGGATCTAGTCCTTTTTTGGTTCACTTGTTTGATTTCGTCCTTTTTTTCCCCAGCGACCTTTTCTTTTTATCTTATTTACTCGGCTAGCAAGGCGTTTTGAGTTTAGGTGGCTAGCAAAGAACATTGTTCTATAAAGCTTTGCAGGGTCCTTGCTATCAATGTATCTACAACCTATATATGTGAGCAATGGAGATCAATAATGCACTTGACTTATATTTCCCAGTTCCTAGGCGTGTACAATCCACCAAGCCTTTCCAGCCCTTGTTAAATACCCATACACGCATTCATATTGAGATTTGCTTAGATCTAGAAGGCTGGGTCGTATTTGATGAATTTAAGGCACTACTTATGCACATATATGCTGTAATGCTGATGGCCCCCTGTTACTGCCCCCGCAGTAAAGGAATCCATCAACCTCAAAATGCAAATTGTGTACAGAGTAATAGCATCATACAAATGAAGAGAAGAGAGTGATAAGATAACTTGCTATACAGGTGCGGATTTCCACTCACAGCCATGTTTGGTTCACTGGACGACCAACACGAGAATGGCGGTATAAGTTGAAGCAACGTAAGTATGAATCTGTTCCACACGCAAGCCCGCGCTTTCTGCAAGTGCCTCCCACTGCTTCTTGGTCCGCTCTTTACCAGCAAAGGTCATCATGGCAAGATCGGCCAAGGCCGATTGCCAGTTGGCGCCAGTATCTGGCAGGATGGCATCATCGATCAAGACCCGCGAGTTGGGGCTCATGGCACCGCGAATATTGCGGAGGATCATTGCAGCTTTGTCGTCGGGCCAATCATGCATGATTCTGCGGAGATAGTAGAAGTTGGCGCCTTCATTAATGGAAGAGTTAGATTTTGATAAGATCTTGTATTCAATGAATAGTTGGAGACAAACCAATGATAGGCTGCGGTTGGAAAAAGTCATAGGCCTCAGCCTTTACGCCATCAATAGGAGCGAGATCCTTCACTGCCTCTGGCAAGTCCTGGAGAACAAGGTAACCTAGGAGATTGGGATACTTCTTTCCAAGCTCGATACATTGGTGACCATGGCCGCCACCAACGTCGACGAAGAAGGGTTTCTCTGAACCCTGTGGGGTAGATGAAACCTTGGATGGAATCTTACGGGCTTCATCGTTGAAAAGATCAAACCCCTCGGTCCATTCTGATCCTTGAAGTGCAGTCATGATCTTTTGCAGGTTTTCAAAGTGCTTTGGTTGCTGGACAAGCCACTCGAATGATGTGAGTTTGGTGTTGTGGGCTTTCTGGAACGGGGTGTTGGTATTGACAGTGACATCTTTATAGTTGTTTTCAGCGAAAAAATCAGGCATCGCTTGCATAACAGGTCCAATCGTGTCGTATCTAAGGTTGTATCAAGGACTATAGGTAAGCAGGGATGTTTACCAGGGGGACGAGACTATATAGGTTACCCGTGGTATATCATGGCCTCACCCTTAGGGTCAGCCAAAACATGAGTGATGCCGTTTGCCGTGTACTCATTGACTCCAGTCTCCTTGATCATGTCCACTGCAGCTAGGTAACGAAGAATTCTTTCTGGATAGAACAATTGTGTCAGAATTTGAAGTAGATACGACCGCCTTAGAGGTCATTACCTAGGAATGGAGGAGAAGCGCCAGTCAGATCTGCAATTTGTGTGACATTCAAGGATTGATTAGTTCCTGCGAGAGAGCGAAGGAGTCCCAGATCTGCACTGATTCGGAGTATTGCACTCGTTAGTCCCTACAACTGTCAGCACTTTAGCTAACCCCGGGTTGTAGTATGTGACCACCAACCGGTACTGCAAGCTCTAGGAAGGTATCTTGTGGAGATTGAAGTTCAACTTTCACTCGTTTGAGTGACTGAATGATGTTCAACCGACCGGCTTCATCGGTGTTTTGAGCGATGGCTTTGATCTGAGCAATGATGGAGTCCATATTGGCACAAATGACATACGATGATTCTTGGGTTAAATAAGGTAGTGAAGAAGAAAGATAAACAGATGGATTACTACGAATCTCATATCAAAAAGAGGTTCTTATATACCTTGGGTGTCATTTAATCTCACATACGTCGCATGGTAGAAATCCAAAATCCACGGAGGCCGCGGAACTTCCGCGGATTCGCCGGCCATTGATTGGTCAATCTCATCAACGATATCTCGCCCCCATTTCACCGCCGTGAGCTGATGGAGTTGGAACAAACACTGCCTCAAATAATACCCAGGGGCGAAAATGCATCGAATCGAGAAAGAGCGTGTTAGATCTTCGCGCTCCCGGCCTGTATCTTGCCACTTTTGTCGGTCGAGGAAGCTGAAGTGTAATCGGCAATTCCCTTGCTCGAACTGCACTAGTCGGGACAAGACTTGTCAGCTATATCCTACTACAACACTGCCTGTCAGTCCTAGGTATCAGGCCGACCAATTGCCCAGCAATGACCATACAAATTTACTGGCCCGCTTACAGAGGCTGGAAGACATAGTGATCACAAATGGACCAGCGTCTAGTCCCCTGGGACAAGATGTTACCCAGGCTTCTCCTCCTGCCCCAATGTCAAACCAACAATATGTGGTTCAGGGAGAACAGTCATCTGCAGCGGCTGCGACATGGCTAGAAGGTGAGATCACATCGTCAGGCTCACTGGTAAGCCCACCTTGATAGAACCAAATTATGGGAACCAGACCGTTGACAAGAATGTACAGGGTAATTTTTTGAAGTATGAAATTGAATTCAGAACTTGCCCCATTCGTAATGCTGTGGGGTCTGAACCAACGGCATATCAAGCCCAGCCCACGAAAAGATGTATCTGGCTACCTCTCCACGACGAATCGAAAATAATAGTGGAAAAGTACATCACAGAAATCACATTCCTCCATCATGTGGTTCACATTCCCTCATTACGTACCATGGTAGATGAACTCTATTGTGACCTGAGAGAAAGCAAGCCGGTCAAGGTTGGGTACGTTTCATTGCTCCTCAGCATTCTCGCCAGAACCACGCCCTTCTGGACTGAACACGACATGTGCAACCCCATATTTTTGACTGCCGAAGAAGCAGTTGCGCAGTCTACACATTGGATGAGACTTGCTATTGAAGTGGTCGATTACTCGCGTTACAAACACCTCGAGTCAATACAGGATATCCAAGCGATGATCATTATGGTATTTGTGACAGCCAGGATCGTGGGAATTACATCACAAGCCCGACATATGATTTCTACTGCCATTTCATGTGCAAGAGAACTATCCTTACACCGGGTCGACTATCCACACAATTCCAACCTAGACATGCCTTCTCCGTCCTCCGCTAAAGCAGAGATATATAGAAGAGTATGGTGGTATCTCGTGGCTACCGATTGGTAAATCTTCCTCCTTCCCTTTCCCTTTTTATATGAATGAACTCATTCGATAACAGGCAGATGTCGCAAATATCCGGCCCACAGAAGGGCACATATTCAATTGATCCACGCCACATGATGACGAACAAACCTTGCAACGCGAATGATGAAGATATTGTAGACGGGATGGTTGGAGTTGGAAAGCCACTCAGCCACCCAACATCGATGTCGTACTATCTCCAGCGGATTCGATTGGGCGAATTTTGCCGCGAAATTGCTGATTGTGCTCCATTCGGAATGTCAGAATCAGAAGGCCCAGACTATGAGCACACGAAACAAATTGACGGCAAGATTTGCGAATTTGCTGGGAGTCTACCCTCGTTCTTTTCGTTGGCCTATAGATCGGACGAGCTGCCAAAATCCGATCCTCGGAGATCTCCCGGGATAATCATACAACGATACATAATCAATTTTCTGCTAAATGCGCAAAGATGCAGGCTTCACTTTGCTTACTTGTCACGGGCGTCTAAGGATCCTACATACGACTACTCACGGAAAGCATGCCTGGAAGCAGCTCGAATGGTAATCCAAACTGAACGCCAACTCTCGGTAGAGGTGATCCCCTTTGTGGCGGCGCGACTGAGAATTCCAGGCTTGCTACATTGCGTCTGCGTGGCAATCATTGTTCTCCTCATAGACTTTTGTGGGGGTGGTTATCCACAGGAAAAGGATATAACGGAAACATTGGAAGCATTTTCAATCTTAGAAAAGGCTAAAGAAGAATCTTTTCTTGCAGGAAAGCTGCTTGAAACTTTCAAGTCGGCTCTTCTCCGGCACGGTGCTTCGGGTTCAGCTGTTGAAGGAAATACAACAACGAAATCTACCACCCAAAACCTCGATGCTTCACCAGGACTTGCCTGTAAATCTCCGGCGCCTACAAACATGGTACATCCGACAGGCAGTAACATCGATGACTTCTTAATGGACCCCACTTTGCCTGCTCTGGATGACCTCTGGCAGGTATTCGATGATAATGTGGACCCAGGAACAGTGGATTGGAATAGCTTCTTCGCCGAACCGGATACTGCATTTCTGTCTATCTAGTGTCAGTGATTAAACGACCGGTCTTGGCATGGGTTTAATAGGATTTGAAATCAACGACATTATGACGCATGATATGTCAATTGATTTTATGTAAGGATTGTCGTCATTTCTACAATATACTAGTGCATTGAACCCCACTCGGATATCCAGTCATGCCCACATTAGAATCGACATAGCACGTTGAGTTAGACTTCGCAGACATACAATACTAACAGGAGGAAACGATCAGTCTAACGGCAAATAAATCCATCCCGTACGCTACAATCTATATCAAAGAATGGTCCCAATTAAATCGGTGGCTTTCTATGCATTTTAAGTCCGGTATAATGATCTTGAACTTTTGTGGCGTACCTAAATTCATGATGATATTCAACCAAATATGACTGGTTCTATCGCAGCGAGGCAGCTTTGTGATCGATCGATGGACTTATATAGGGAATAATGTTACCTGGTTCCTAAACACACTCTTTTTTTTCCCTGCACAGGGACACTGCCTCTTGTGGCAGCTCCTCCAAAAAGTTTTACCGTATCATATCATCATTTACGGAGAATATTGCACAACATATGTTATACAACATCTACGGGTACATACATGACAGTATCAGTGGGGCTCTACGGCAGGTTTTAGACGCCATCGCGCCAACCTATATAATTTGACAGAAATCTCGTGTACAGCAATGTTGAGTATAGATAGTCGACTGTGTTTGCGGCCTTATGGTGTCTTTTTTGATGTCTTTTTTGATGGTCTTTCTAGATAGCTTGTTTAGATATAAAGGCGGTAAAAAAGTCATACTTTATATAAGAGACTATACTATATATATACCTTTCTATAAACTACCTATAGTATTTAAGCCGCTCGCTCATTATAATGTTTAGAGGCGCCTCTAAGCTTAGGAAATTCGAAAGTATATACCAACTTTAGTTAAACCTCTAGCTCTATCTACGACTTTAAACTAGCATAATTATTATCTAAGCTAACCTTAAAGATAAAGAGCTAGTTACTTCTAATTTTTTAGTTTAGAGAGTATAATAAAAAATAAGGGAATTCTAGGATTTATATAGGTACGAATAGTATTATATTTAGTACCTATTTTAGAAGGCATTAATACCTTCGTACCCTGGGCTATAGGTATGGATTATTAATTTAATTTATTGCTAATTTGCTGCCTGGTCGGTTGGCGCGATGGCGTCATAAAACCTGCTGTAGGGCTCTAGAATCTCAGATTAGGGGCCTTATTGAGCGATAATTGTTTAGGTCAAATGCTCCAGCGTACACTGATCGTTGTGGACTGTTGCACACATCCAGTGCGGAGTAAACCAAGCTGTACTAAGAAGTAGATAATAGTGCAAATAGCATGACTTGGGTAATATTTCCACAATGAGAAACTATGTGTAAATGCACTATGGTTGAGCGATATAAAAAATAGTCGGATGTTGTTGTTGGCCGGGTCCAATTCGGGAGGTCCACCTCCATATTGTTCAATGATGACACCTGTGGACAGTCCGATCCAATCTCTTTGTGCGTTCTTTTGATTTTCGTCTTTCATCATACTTATGAAAGTGCTTTATGTTGTAAGTCTCTACCCGTATTTGTTACACCATCCACAGTCATTGTACAACATAGTACCAATCATCCTCTATATGTATCACAATTTTGCCTCAGCTCTATGACCACACTAAAGAATATGATGTGTGTAGCATGTACAGCATATAAGAGACACTAGTCAGAGATCCGCTATTGTCAATGACAATGGCGTCAAGCCCTATCAAATCATGTTTATATATTGTCTTATTTATTGTACTGTACAATGCACTCCATATGGTGGTAGAAGTTTGGGGTTTATAGCTATATTACATGGGCATACTAGAATCACACCCGTGGACATGGTTATTTATATTTACGATATATACTAGCTGGTAGATAAAAAAATGAAGTATTAATATCTTAACCTATATAACCTATACACTCCCAACTACCTGGTAACAACAATGGGCCCTAAAGTTGAGTGATTCGAGCCTCTCGGAGAGCTCAAATCCACAGTGATCTATGGGAAATTGCATATCGCCACTTTCAATCGAGTTTCCTAGATTGTAAACAGTAAGTCCACATCTCCCACCTACTTATCCAGTGACTATTGTCCGTGTCTTCAGATCCTGCTTTTAAGTGGAGGAACAAGCATGCTTTTGTACTCCATCTTGCTCCACATCCCGATCAATTGGAACTCTGTTCAATATGACGTTGTGCTTGTTGCTACGCGTTTCACTCCGGCTGGTTCGGACCTACTATTGTCTACTCTCCGGGACCAGGGTATTGGTTCATCGGAGATCTTCCCCACGGTCAACGGCATGAATGGCTGACAGCATACAGTTTCTATACATTCTTTATGTTTTCATATCGGGGACTTTTGCCGATCATGTGTGTCCTGATGTTACATATTCCGTTGATTCGCTTGGAGCTTTAACCCACCTTTTCTTATAAAGATGCAGTCTCCCCCAAAATCTTGCTTCAACTAGAGCCATATCTGCCACCACAACTCTACAGGTGGATATTGTCAGATAGTTCAATTACTTACGATCTTCATAAAAGGGGCGTCGTATTCATTCGCCCACTGATCAGCCAATTCGCATTCGCTGAAAAGCAACGATGAGGAAGTTCATTGCCCTCGCTGCCTTTGCTGGGGGCTCCCATGCCCTTGTTGGCCGCACTGATAGCTGCTGCTTCCACCTCACCTCTTCCGGCGGTGCCTCCGGCCAACTTGGCCAGCTAGGTGATGGTCAGAACCGTATTGGCGACAATAGTCTGCAGCCCGCACAGTACTGCATCGATGCCAACGGCGCCATCACCGACTCTAAAGGCCGTGGATGCATCCTCACCCGTAAGTAAACCGATCAATTTCCTATATATCCACCCACCAAAGGATGTACACATCTGACTATATGGCAGCTCCCACGACTCAACTTCAGTGTGACGAGGGTGTGTCTCCTACCCCAGGGTTTTCTATCAACGCTCAGGGTAAACTTCAGTACCAAAACAGCCCAGGCTTTGTTGCATGTGCCACGGGCCAGAATGGTGGTCTGAATATCTACACTACCCCTAACAAGATGGATGTTACTGGCTGCGTAAACGTGGAGGTGTCTGCCGACTCCTGCTCAGGCACTGGCCCCAGCCCCGGTGCCCCTGCTCCCGGTCCTGCCCCCGCCCCCGCCCCTGGCCCTGCTCCTGGTCCCGCGCCTGCTCCTGCTCCTGGTCCTAGCCCTGCTCCTGGTCCTGCCCCCGCCCCCGCACCTGGCCCTGCTCCTGGTCCCGCTCCTGGTCCCGCCCCAGGCCCTGGCGGTGGTGGTCCTGGTCCCATGCCTGCTCCTGGCCCCGCACCTGCTCCAGGCCCAGCTCCTGCTCCTGCTCCAGGCCCTGGCGGCGGCGGTGGTGGCCCTGCTCCTGCTCCTGGTCCCGCTCCTGCTCCTGCTCCTGGTTCTACTCACACTGCCACGACCACTATCACTGTCACCGACTGTAGCTGCCCTACTTCTGGCGCTCCTGGTGCCCCTGGGGCTCCTGGCGGCGGTCAAGCTGGTCCTCAGCCCTCAGCCCCTGCTGGTGGTGGAGGGGGTGGTGGAGTGCCGCAGCCTTCTGCCCCTGCTGGTGGCGGTGGAGGTGCTGGAGTGCCACAGCCTTCCGCTCCTGCTGGAGGAGGTGGTGGTGGTGGGCCACAGCTCTCACCTAGCATTCCTGGCCCATCTGGCGGCGCTGGCAAGCCTTCTGTTACACAACCCGCCCCCGGCGGTGGCGGTGGCGGTGGTGTGCCCCCTGGTGGCTCTGCTAGCGTGCCTGTTCCCCCTGGCGGTGGTAGTACACAGCCTGGTATCTCTATTAGTGTACCTCCTCTCACTGGCGGTGGTGGTACGCGCCCCGGTGGCTCTCCTACCGTACCAGCTCCCACCGGTGGCGGTTCGCAGCCTGGCGTCTCCCCTAGTGTACCTCCTCTCACCGGCGGTGGCGGTACACGCCCTGGTGGCTCTGCTAGCGTGTCTATCCCCACTGGCAGCCCGCCACCCACTGGCCCTCGTGCCACTGCCTCTACCAGCGCAGCTGTCCCTACTAGCACCTCAGCCACTGGGTCCAATGGTGCTTGTCCCACTACCCTCTCGGGTACTACCCTCTCAGGTAATTACGAGATCCCTCACCTTATTGTCGCCGTCGACTCGTCCTCGCCTGGCACCGCTGCAGGAAGCGGACTCAACGGCACCGTGAGCTCGACCATCTCGACCGTGTTCAACTTCGACATCCCGAATGCCGATTCTGGCAAGACCTGCAGCCTCATTTTCCTCTTCCCCAGGCTTGAGGATCTCGAGACCTCATCTTTCAGCTTTAGTGGTGATGGAAATATTGACTTCGCTGAGCTCTCTTCTACAGCCGATTCCTTAACGTCCTTTAGCAACGTACCCTCCGTGGCTAAGGACCTTGGTACGGTCACCGTCTCCCCTGGCAACTCATACGTTGTCTCTACCTTCTCTTGCCCGGCTGGCCAGGCTGTCGCATATCAGATGAAGAACGCTGGTAGTACTGACCTCAACTTCTTCGAGGACTGGAATCCCTCTCCGTAAGCATTCTTCCACTTTCCCTTTTTGCTTATATATCGCTAACAGCACTTTCAGTCTCGGCCTGTTCATCACCACTTGCTAAATGAGGAACCTCTGTGCAAATTGGCAGTTTGCGGCTATGGACATGTGATTACTACAGCCATTTTTGATGCCTTGTAAACTTCCATTGACGTTTCCTTCACACGTCGATATGTATTCTCTTGATACTTTTCCTTCTCGTTTTCAGTTTCTTTTTTTGGCCCGATGTCCATATAGAATTAATTCTTCCCAAAAGCTGACTGTCTATTTGGTGAATCGGAAAACATAGCCATATCTGGTTGATGTTGTAATTGCGGCGCATGCACATAGCGTCCACGTTCCTTCGGCTTGTGTATTAGTACATTGAATTCACTCCTTCAGTTTTGCAAGTAGATGACCGTGAGGAATATGAATATGCAAATCTCGTTGTTTGTGTCTAGGCAACAAAAAGTGGATCGCCTCTCTAGGGCTTTCAAAGCAGAAAAACAAAAAAACAAAAAAGAATCTTCGATACCGGGAATCGAACCCGGGGCCGCGGAGGTCATGTAATGAAAATCCGCTAGGTTAACCACTACCCCATATCGAACTTGGATGACAAATTGAGCCGTTAAGATTATTATGACCCTGGAATAGTTCGTGGACACAATTTGGTACGGTACGTACACGGGGTACGCACACCTGGACGGGTTTAACTAGTTATCTTATATCCATTGCTGACTGCCGGTAATTTAAGCCACATTTGGGGCAGCCAATGAGATCCCTCAAAATGGAAGAGGAAGAAGGAGAGGTGACCACGTGCCACATGTTAACGCTGTGCCAAGCAATGCCCTTTGACTAGGCAGATATGTTTATTTTCCCTTCTTTAGATCTTTTGATATTCTGATATCTTCCAATGTTTTGAAAATCTCTTCTTCCCCAATTTTCTTTTTTTATTTTTCTGGGGGAATTCCTGGAGTCAATATGGAAATCCCCGCAAAACTCCCCTTCTCCAAACGGCGGCTCCGACCGCGTGTTGTCATCTCGTATGTTGAATTTCCCCAGTTCCCCACTAATCTCCAAACTAACTGAACTACCCAGCTACATCTTCGACTATGTGATCATTATGTACAGATATCAACCCCGCCCCCCTCTGTTTACTCTGTACTTACCCCGGAAATAGTGTCTGCGCTATCGGCTTCGCGATTCTCAACAAGGTCGAGCCCTTCCACCAACACTTCTCCCTCAACAACATCTCCATCCAATATCCTTATGCCGTACATGAACGCATCCCCATGGCTTATGCCCTCTGCATCTCCGCTGCTTTCCCACTCGTCCTCATTATTGTCTACACCTTGGTCATCGATGGCTTGTTTTCGCACCATAAGCCACAGGACGTATCGTCTGGGAAGCGGAAGTTGAGAGGTCCACATCGCTTCAAGGACAGACTTTGGGAGCTCAATTGCGGTGTCTTGGGTCTTTTACTGGCTCAGGGACTCGCTTTCGTCATCACACAGGCGCTGAAGACGGCATGTGGCAAGCCGAGACCCGATCTCATCGATCGTTGTCAACCACGCGCTGGTAGCAAGGACCTTTTCCCAGGATTGTCAAACTCAACAATCTGTACAGGCGATCCCGCATTGTTAACAGATGGGTTTCGATCGTGGCCGTCCGGTATGCAATATGATTTGATACTGCCTTTCAAAGTCGCATGCTAACCTTGATTCATCTAGGCCACAGTAGTTGTGTGTACTCCCCATTTGCGATTCACCGGGTTTTTTTTCCCTATCACTAACACCGTCTAATTAATAGCCTCCTTTGCCGGTCTCGTTTACACGTCGCTCTGGTTAGGCGGAAAGCTGCACATTATGGACAATCGCGGTGAGGCCTGGAAGGCCTTGCTCGTCATGGTTCCTCTACTGGCAGCAAGTCTCGTGGCCGTATCGCGCATCATGGACGCGCGCCACCACCCATTCGACGTGATCACGGGGTCGATGCTTGGGGTTGTCTGCGGCTTTGTCGCATATCGCCAGTATTTCCCACCGCTCAGCGAACCCTGGCGCAAGGGTCGTGCCTACCCAATCCGAACCTGGGGGTCTGATCCTGCAGGGCCAGATGCCGCTCGACTTATCGGTCCCAAGGGCGATAGCTCGACTGCTCTCCGCAACCCCGAAGAAGAACGCATGGACCCAGATTTGCCCAGCTCGGAACATCCCAGACCCGATGCATCTACCTATCTTCATGCCTCCAACCCATATGGATCAAATGTTTACAATCGCCGCCCACATGACCATGACGCTGACGGTGGTGCTTGGTCGTCGAGCGAGGACGACGTTACCAATGGGTATGAGATGCGACAAGGTCATAATATGGGGCAGAATCTCGGTGCCGGTCACCATGCGCCTCAATATGACCCCAGTAATGCGTATGTGTCCCAAACACAGCCGCTGACGGCTAATACGGGAATCCATGTTCCTGATCCGATGGCGGGTCCGGGGCGTCCGTTGACGGACACTCCCGGTCGGGCCATGTGAAGATAAATGATGGGGTTATTGATGATTTCAGTCTAGTTCAGAGGGGGAATTGCCTAGGTTATTTGTTCATGATTTGATCAAGCCATGGATTATTGCGGTGGCTGGCGATCCAACTCTGTACTAGTAGTATGATTATGAGCGTCTTGGCGTTGAAAACGAAAGAATCTGGATTTGTTGCCATCGAGACCAAGCATTAATTTAACATTTGGTAAGAGTCCTATATCTCTTGAAACAAAAGTAGTGATCTGTACCATTTACAAGTGCAAGGAAGTCAAGTCCAGTTCATAGGGGTCTCCACTTAAATATGGTTGGCTTGACAACGAGTATCTATATTCTCATGCCCTAACCTATCAATCCGAGGGATACGGAGTTATCAAATGCAAGACATTGATCAAAAAGGGACGGCTCATGCAAGTGCCTAGACTAATCAATATAAAGAAAGCGTCAAGACGAGCATTAAGGGACTCGGGTTACCCCAGCCACCGACATCGTACATTGTGAGTCGCCCAGCCTCCTCAGCCCGAGATGACGCTGAATATCTTTTTTTAATTTCCCCTCTTATTTGTGTCTTTTTCCTATTTTTTGTTACTTTCTCTTCTGTATCCCTCTGCATCTTCTACATCGTGCATCCTGCACTGTAATCGCAACTGCTTGTGCCTTTTTTTTTCGCGAGCTCGTGTAGCCCCCCACGATCTTGTCACTGTACCTCGGACATACCCCAAGCACATCGGGACAGTTGCACATTCCAAAGATCTGAAACCCAATCTCTCTTTAAACCGCCGACATGATTGGCAGCGTCTTCTTCATATTCAACCGCCTGGTTGAGATCGTCTTCCTGGTCCCAATCATTGGCATGCTGGTATGTCCCTCTGCCAACCAGTCCGATCAGTAATACCCCTCCGAGTCTCCCGCTAACGATATCTCCGAATTTAGGCCTACTTCGTTAACGGCTACCTGAAAGCAAACCAGCTGACCCCACCATATATCCTGGTCCTCTTCATCGTCAGCGTAATCGCCATCTTCTGGGCCCTCGACACGCTCATCCGCTTCTCAACAACAAAGCGCTCCGCAATCTTCGTCGCATTCGTGGACCTAATCTTCTTCGGCGCTTTTATCGCATCCGTCTACCAGCTCCGCTTTATCGCCAACGCCGACTGTGCCCACTGGAATGGCGGCTCCGTCTGGATATCTCTGGGTCCATTCGGTTCATACGGCCAGCGCACAGATAATCCGCTATCGCTGGACGTCAACAAGACTTGCGCCATGCTGAAGGCCTCCTTCGCAATTGGTATCATGGAGACCGCATTCTTCTTCTGGACTGCGCTGATTGCGCTGTTCTTGCACCACTCGCGTACCCCAACTGTTGTTAAGGAGACGACGACTGTTCGGAGACGCAGTCATTCCAGCCGTCGTGGTCATGGATCTGGATCGCACTCGCGTCATCGCAGCTCTAGTCGCAGACCCGCGCCTTATGTCGTTTGATTCTGTTTTATATGATCTGCTTTTCTTTTTCTTTTCTTTTACGCGAGGTGCTTCTCATGATTGAATGAATATCATATGCCATAATGAGATACGGATTGGGATATTTCCTTGGATGGATTGATACCAGAACAATTGGACAATCGCTGCGATGCGTATCATATTCAAATTTTTGTTGTATGTGCTGGAAATATGGCCATTTCGGGCATTTGGGACTGCGGTCTCCATGTTTTTTTCATACTGTTGTTTAGTTTTGCAAATCTAGCTCCATTATGATCCACACATTATATCCGGTTTATGTTTTTTGCCGATTTGGCCATATAGTCATATAGTGCAACGCCATCGTTTAGAGAACTTCAAGATGCCGGACCTCCAAGTACATACAAGTCCATATCCAGAAGGGTGGTGAGATAAGGTAGCACAAAATAGGAGACCAAGTGGGAATATCCCAATATCCCTTAAAATAGAAGGAGGCTCAACTCCGGGGAGATTTTCCCTCACATGGCCACATTGGGAATTTCGCCCGGGTTGTACGGAGTAGCGGGACAAAAGAGGAGAGATCAGCCATGTTATTGAGCTAGGATCAGATTGATATATTTAATACCGCCCGCATCTACTCCGTACTTTCGTACAAGTTCATGTTTTGCTAAGAAACGACCGATTATAATAAGTGTGGCTATATATTTGGCATTGCCTTGGTACATCGGTTTGCCTTGCCTATTGGTAGTTGTCCTACTTTATCTTCGTATCACTACACTGTTCTCACTGCCTAAACTGAGAAGCGCAGCCTTCGCAGGCCAATTAGTTTTGACTAATGTCGCAACGCATATTTAATACAGGGGTTTTGAAAAGCGCCTGGAGACAAATTAAAGCAGTCATTGAAGCTGAGCTAGAGGAGGATCATATGCAAGTAAGTCTGACGCCAACGCCGCTCAATGCAAGCTTTTACCCCTAGTGCTAATACGCCTGCATAGGATCGAACACGAAACGAAGTTACGACAGGGTTGTATGAATACGAAACGCTCAAGGGACATGTCTTGCCATTGCGGCTTGTCGAGCTTCTCCCTGGCACTAGACAGGAAGATATAACCTGCCGCATGTACGAAACATCCTTGGACAAATGCGCAGGATCCTACGAGGCGCTTAGTTACGTCTGGGGGGATGACAGCGAGAAGACTCCTATCCAAATTGATGGCCGGACTCTTGAGATTGGCCCTAATTTACGGCTTGCCCTATTCAACCTACGTCTACCAGATAAGCCTCGCACTCTCTGGGTCGACGCTATCTGTATCAGACAAGACTGTACCAACGAGCGAAATAAGCAAGTTGCATTCATGGACGAGATTTACCGACGGGCAAGGAGGACTGTTGTGTGGCTCTGTGACGAAGTGAAAGGAGAGACGAGTGCTGCAATCTCCATGCTGGAAGCTCTTGCCGAAGATGCCATATCGCGCTCTCACAAACGAAGCTCACATGGTGATGGTAACGGCGAGGGTGAAAAGATTGTTCATCTCAACAACCTACCGGTGTCGATGATAGAGAAAGTCGGCGTCACAGATCCAATGTTCGACCGCTACCAGAACGATGCAACAGCCATACATCTACTAAGAAGTCAGTGGTGGTACCGCGCCTGGACTCTCAGGAGATCCTCCTTGCATCAAGAGCAATTACTGTGATCGGGCGTTACTCCATAGACTGGGATCACTTACGCATCGGGGTGAACCACGGTCTAGATTTAGGAATCTGGACACCCATCTCAATGGGCATTATGCGCGATCCTATCATCACGCCCTTTTTGTCTCTGCAATGGCTGAGGTTAAAACGACAAACGCAAGACCCGAAAGAGCCCCCAGGGCAGGTTTTACTAAATCTGCTGTTCCAATGCCGCTTCCGCCAGGCATCTGACCCACACGACAAGATCTATTCTTTGCTTGGTCTTATTGCCAGCACTGGCTCAAACCCACTCGTGGCACCAATCCCGGCGAATTCGCCCCTAGGGATCAAGCCCGACTACTCTTCACCAGTGAATACAATCTATACTCATGTCGCACGGCAGATGATCCTAGTGTCTAACACTCTCGATGTACTCGGCGGCTGTAAAGGTAGCCCACCGACTGCGGCCTTAGACCCCGGCTTCACCCTGCCATCCTGGGTACCTGACTGGAGCACAGCCCAGTCTGCCAGTCCGCTGTTACATGATGCGCTTGGCGAACAACGCACTACACATGCTACAGCGTATAGCAAAGCCTTGCCGCAATTTATCGACACGGGTAACTCGACGCTGCTCCTACACGCGCACGAGATAGCAAGCCTCACAGCACTGGCATCACCGCTAGCGCACCCAGCCGCGGATTCGATAAAGATGACAAGAGATCTAGACAAGTGGTTGGATAAGATGGACGGGGCCGTGATATCGCTAGGATACCTATGGGGGCTTCTGGGACAGGTGTGGAAGTCGCTTTCCAATATATACGAAGCAGCCATGGCTATTGTGCCGCTTCTCGTGACATTTGCGAAGTGGGAGGCGTTTGCAACGGAAGTGTCCCCAACGAACCCCAGCCCTGGCGTTGCCGGATCCGTGCCCGGGCCCGATCCCTCACCATCCAACCTAATTACTGCGCCCGTTTATGAGGTCAAAGAGCTAGACATCCCCGCTACCCCGGAGGAAGAGCCCGAAGATCGGCTGGCTGTGTATTGGCAGACGCTATGCACCGGTACGTATGATACAGCGACCGCTGCACCGGAGATGGGACGCAAGATCGCGTCGCAGAAGTTGTTTTACAGCTGGCGGGCGTCACTCGCGCCTTTCTATCTCCTGAACCGGTGGAATGCGGACCGGATGCTGCGGCCGCTGGGATTCGTGGGGTATGCTATCAAGACATATCGTATGTTTAGCGAGTTTCCGCGCTTCCTGGAGGGTAGCTACGGACGGCGCTTGGGCCGGGCCGACAATGGGTACTTGTGTCTGGTGCCAGCGACTGCGGAGGTGGGTGACAAAGTGATACTTGCGAGAGGAGGGAGAGTGCCCCTCGTGGTGAGAGAGGACGGAGGAACTGGATATTGGCGGTTGGTGGGAGAGGCGTACGTGCATGGAATTATGGATGGTGAAGCATGGGAGGGGGATAAGTGCAAGGAGTTCCAGGTTAGATGACTCTGGAAAGCTTCATTGGATAATGTAGTGCGGAGCGACTACTCTTAGTCAAACTACGGTATGAATGGCCGACAGCGAGGCCAGCGGCTATATCTAATATGCAAGGGAGCTCTTTTAAACAGTCGAGATCTTTGTTATCACAGGAAATAAACTTATGGCAGATGGGTTTCTTCAAAGCAAATCACCCATGAGATAACCCGATGCTTCGAACCTCAGCCAGCTCGCCATTATTCGGGATCAAGAACGCTCCATTTGGAAGCAAGAGACATAACTCCAAACATTCCATATTCAACCAATCTTTCGGTAGGAAGTAGTGTCGCTGTACCTGGTCCGGGGTGAAGTTGGGACCGAGACTCCAAGAACATACCCAGTGGCTTTTGTCAAGGAACACAAGGCGTTGATGGGAGAGTATTCCAAGCGGGATTTCAATCTGGCGCTGAATTTCGCTCGGGATGGTCATGGGCGTTTCGATGGAAGGAGATATAGTTGGCGCGGTTGGGAATTGGGACAGAGAAGATGCTTGAAACAGCAATGTGACGGTTTCTCTACGACCGTTGGTCGTGTGGACGAGTAAGTGAGAGTCTGAGCAAGTGTGGCAGATGCGCTGGATTTCGGTGGTTTCTTCATTTTGCAAGTGGTCTTCGACGGTATCTGGAGTGACCGCTCTATCTATATCCGAGAGTAATGGGGTTCTCTCCAGATCCATGACAGCAATTTCAGAAAGATCATTCCAGTTATACACACGAACCTGGCTGGGACTGAAAGCCAATAATAGTTTTGAGTCTGTTGGATGTTTGACCCACTTGGTATTTGGCGATGTTATAGTGAAAGGCTCTCTGTTGGATCGAGTCGACATCACCGGTTGAACGGTGACTGAAGACCCATTTTTGACCAAAACAATTGCCCCATTGCCATTCAGCAGGACTTGTTGAACACCTTCAGAACTAACATCAATTGTCGCCTTAAATACTTGGTTAGCAGCCCAGGCTCCGTCGCTACCTGTATGAATCTCTTTCACGACAACCCTCCCTGCCATCTCCACACTGGCTAGGAATCTTCCATCTGAAGACCAATCTAGATGTGCGATTGGTAGCTCCAAAGATGATCTCCAGAGCTCAGATGTCGCATGCTTGCCATCTGAGCTGTCTATTATGCTGACAACTCCAGCTTCATTCCCAACAGCATGGTAGCGCCCCCTGAATACAACAGCAATTGCGGTTATCTGCGCTCGTACTTCTGCAGAAGCTTCGGAAGCAATGGCCGTTGGAATGCTGGACGCCTCGCTCCCAAGATCACTATCATCACTGCTCTCATCTCCTGCAAGTAATGCATTTGGCTCCCAAACGTTGCACCATGGGCCACGGAGGTCATATAATCGTTTGCTGTCTGGACTGAAGCAGATATCGGTTATCATCTGATCGCAGGAGAGTTTGTAGATCATGGTGAAATGATGAAAGCTATACAGCTTTATCGTGCCCTGGCTGTCGCCTATTGTAAAAAACTTGCCCTCAGGACTGCATGCAAGAATTGCCCCCTCGGCTTCCAGTTCCTGCTGGCTGTTCGTGTACGGATTCCATCTGAACACTTGCCCTCCACCGTACAAACCGAGAATCTCCTGGGATTTCGGATGCCAGATCATTTGATCTACAACCGACCAGGAATTTCCTGCATATTCATGACTGCGCATACATCGTCCCAGGAGTGTAGCATTCTCCATGGACCAGACACATAGAGGAGAACCGCGATAAGCGACAGCCACACAGGTCGCGTCAGCATTAAATGACATACGCCAAGGTACATTGTGCACAGGTCTATCCAGAGCCGTGTCCATTGTCAGAAGGCTGCGATGCAATATCGACCAAGTGGGAACTGGGTCTGTCAACCGGGCAACTCTGAGGAGTCGATCCGCTGACCCGATGACAATCTCGGTATCTCCGGCGGAGAATACCATGGCCAAGGCCATGCTACCGATGGGATTTTGGATCCGGTGCATGACTTCTCCTGAATTGACAGACCACACCTTTGTTGTCCGGTAGCCGTATGTCACAAGAAGATGGGACCCACGACTGAAACTCATTGCGGAAACCTCCTCCGCATGTTTGAGCACATGCTTAGTCTCGAAAGTCGTAGAATTGTACAAAGTAATTACTCCTCGGCCGGTTAGCACGGCAAAATGGTCTCCCGCACAACCAATTATGAGACCCTGGGTCGCGGGTTGGAGAGAGATCTTGGCTAGGCCATCATCCCACGTAGACTTTGATAGCCCCTTGACCGCCAGGGAATGTGGACGGGGAGCAAATTGCTTGAATTGTCGATATATCATCGAGCCTTTAGGGCAGAATGGCGGGATTTGCTGGTAAATAGAGGTGGGGGTCTCAGTCAGATGCAGCCCGAACTTTCCAATGAGTTTGAGCAAGTCTGTCGCCCATGATTCCACCAAGTCGAGTTCTTGAAGCCGATGAACCATTGGGTGTGTCACAGAATTGCGACCTCGTTTCCGGCGGGCGTATAGGCTCATGCTCTTTGCAGAAGAAACAAGAACCCGTAGTTTCCTTGTTTGAGCCAGTGCCACAATCCAGTCTAATACGTGATTGCCCTTGAGGAATTTGGCCAAAAGGAGTAATGGTGCGTCTGAATCAGCGGATACTTTATCCAGATGGTATGCCCACGATGTCATTGCATAGTAGAAAAATTCTCCTTTCAGACTTTCCTTCAGATTCCCGGGCAAAAGATGGAGATCTCGAGGTTGGCGGTGCTTGTCCTCCAAGACAGACAGGCACTTGTTGAACAACCTCTCATGACCTTCGGCTAAATTGACTCCTAGTTCCGAGTCTGTCGCCACTATATGATCTCTCGCGGTCTGATGGACCATCACTAGTCGATCAGTAGCAGCGTCAACGATGACGAACTGCCCACAAACACGGTTGATGAGGAGACTCATCTCCACCATCGGCAAAAAGTCCGGCTCCAGCGCCTGTGCCAATTCACTGAGGGATAGCGGGCGCCGGGAGCATGTTGCCCACATCAAAATCCTCTGTCCCAGTTTCCGATCTCGTGGTTTTGTGTTTGAAATGATTGTGCGTTCCATGCGTTGGTACAGTTGCTCCATACCCCCCGGGATGCCACCCAGCGTTTCGTCGACATCCTCTTCTGTATTGCACTCCGCCACCTCACGCATTGCAAGGCTGGTCCATAGGAAATTACCGCTCGCGCATTTCACCATTTTGTCCACCAGCCGCGCTTTGAATTCGGGGGCAGCACGCAAGTATTCTACTTCCCGTTCGACATACAGCCGTATGTCTCTTTTGGTACTCTCCAGGGGTAAATATGCGACCGAGAGCACAGTCGACAACCGGTCAAATGTTGTGATGAGCCCCGGTGTTTGCCGACTAACAAGGATCACCTTGATACGAGTTAATGAATCCGATACACTCTGCATTAATTCCACCAGCTTCTGTGGGTTGTCGGATTCATCCAGTGCATCGATAACACAGTAGATTGTTGTAGAAAATCTCATCTTGAACAGCAGTTGAACAAATATTCTCTCCCAGATGGCCTTGAAGTCCGTTTTTTCCAACGTCTTTGTAGCAAATGGGATGTTTTTCAATGCGCGGCAAAATGCGGGAATCTGCTTTGCAAGCTGAAAAGCAATGCTCCTTAAGCAAGCACTCAGCGAGCGCTTGGACTCGTCACTGAACCGAAAGAAATAGTACACACAAATGGACTCTTCTAGGAGCTTATGTGTAACAAATGCCGATAAGACAGATTTCCCACTCGCTGGCAACGCGTGTAACCACAGCATGGTTGGGGCATCCTCAGCTTCATCCATCCAATGAATGAAGGATGGATGAAAGATAATCCAGTCGCAGGTCCCAGAAGTCCACCTGGAATGAAAGAATTCGAGGTCATCGTGAAAGGTTTCTGGCACTGCTAACAGAGTCTGCAAGTGTTCAAGCTGTGTTTTCCCCTGTTCTCCAAACAAAGATTGCCCTGTTGGATCCAGGTCAGTACATGTTTTGATATTAGTAACAGCAGAAGTACAGGTTAGGCTCACCTGCCGAACGAATAGATGAGACCAAGGTTTTCAAGGCGTTCCTAACGCTGATGTAATTGGAGTCCTGAATGCTATCGAACTTGCAGACTGTATGGTGATCGGCAACCAAAGCTTTGGAGATCTCCTTCGGGTATCCGAGAGTGGCTGATTCTTTCTCAACCACCATCTACCGGCGAGTCAGCGTGTATAGAATAGATGCGGATTCTTACATACCATTTTTTTCGGGCCAATTGAGGTCTGTAGAGTCTCATAGAATGAAAGTATGTCCAGGTTCGGGGCAAAGTGACGGAATTGCTCGTTCAGAGCTGCTACAGTCTGTGACCCGACACTCAGCTCGGATATGTATAATTTGGGACTATGATTGAACAGCGACACCGTCAGAATCTTGTTTAAGATATCTGCCAGATTAGATCCGCGATGTGGAGTCGCCAAGAACAGCATAGCACTGATCGATGACACAATGTCGGAATATTGATCGTCGTTTTGGCCAAGAATATACGCCTGCTTAACGACAAGCCCCCCCATGGAATGGACAATGAAGATAATGGGTCTCTAGTAATGCGAGGCGTGAACACCTCTTTCGAAGTAGAAGGGGGGGAAGTTCGGAGAGTTACCTTGCCCAGCTCGAGTTCTTCCAATTTTTCGCCCTTGGCAAATTTCATCGAATACAACAGGTCTTTCGCAAAGTCTGTTATTCCCGTTATGGGAGCCGAGCCGGTGGAAGCCCAGCTTGCGTTGTAACCAAAGGACAGTATTCTTGCCATTTGAATTCCTGGCTCGAGTGGAAGCCATTTCTCCGGCCAGAAGTACTGTGGATCTCGACCTCGTGCCCACGTAGCTCGGCTAGTACCGCCTAGACCATGAACAAAAATGATATCGAGAGAAGGAGATGTCTCTGGTTCATAGACAACAGTCAGTCCAAGGGGGTCGTTGCGTCTATCGGTGGACACTGAGTGATTCCGCGAGGGGATTCCGAATGTTGAGCCTGCTCGGAAAGTCTCGGCCAGAGAGGGCCTTCTGTCCAGGTCCGTTGCAGTTTGTGATGGATCAGTAATTTCGATGGGGGACCACACTATTTCAGCAGTAGCAGATGGAGGAGCGGTAGTGATATTCAGGCCTTGTGTGGCTGTCTCTTCAGGTGGAGTCCGTTTCGGGTCCTTCTTGAAGGGAAACTATAGAGGGTTAGAATCATATTAGCTGAAATATCCTTATTCTGCAATGTCTTCCCCTACCCATTTTCCCAAGCGGGGGTTCGACATTTGTGGCAAAGTTCGAACAGTTGCATATCTCTTTCCGCCTTTTTTTTGGATGGAAAGAATGGCCGAAGAATAGATTAGGGAAGATCGCGGCTGTAGGAACCTCTAGGCTCAACTTGCGGCTCAAAATGTCAGCCCCCGTCTTTGCTTTTAGTTCGCGACTTACGGTGGCTGGACTGATGCAGGCAAGATCACACCGTTCTTGATTTCCCCTCTTTATATCGGTTTGCGCACAGCCCTAGAAATTGTGGCGGCTTATTATTATGCGAAAGGGTACGAGCCATCACACGACAACATCCAATCCCCGATATTCCGTCCCCTCCTCATGATTTATCCATTATAGCCTACCCCTCACTGGGCGCTTTTTGCCTGATTATGATTCGTTTAGGAAATATTGTATTATTACGTGGCAAGGCGTTGTCCACTGGTGCATACATGATCTAGATAGCCGCCGGGGCCGTCCACAGTTCCAAGAATTCTAACTATGTAGCTTAAGGTTTTCTCGTACAGGGTATGTCACCAAGTATCTTTATCTAGAATTGTTTACTTAGCAGAGTTAAACGCGAATAAATAGTGTTTTAGATTCCCTTTATCAGCACGAGTCGTGTCTGAAACAATCCAACCTACTCTACCATTACTATTACAATCACTTTTATAACTAAGATGGCCACATCAACTGAAACGGTTCTTTCTCTCCAGATTCCTCCAACATTTTCGGCGGGTAAAGTGCCTTTGGTCACGCCAGCTCGAAGCAGAGGCCAAGATATAGAGGGCGACTTCCCATTGGATCAGATAGTAGTTGACCGTGCTTCCTCCATCTTCCAGAAAATAGGAGTATCTTGAGCTAACTCCTCATTTGCATTAGACTTCCCCTTGGGCACCCAAGTCCACTCCTGTGAGCGTTATGGAGCTTCGGCTTGGACAGTTACTGCCAAAATTGTAACCACCCTCCCAAATGGGGAGCTAAAGCTTTTTTTTCTCAAGGTATAGGGGGATTAATGCATATAAAATCCATATTTACTAATGCATTTGTCTACAGTGTGCTGAGGAGAATCAAGGCAAAGCCATGTTAGAGGGAGAGTTCAATTCCATGGTTGAGCTGTACAAAACCAGTCCCAACTTTGTCCCAAAGCCTTATGCATGGGGTCAACTCAGTGTATCCCGCCCTGCCACGTATTACCTCTTGTGTGACTTTATCGAGATGGGCAACAAGAACCCAGATCCTGTCCAACTCGCCACCAAGCTCGTCCAGTTACATCAGTCAAGCAAATCTCCCACAGGCATGTTTGGCTTTCACATCGATACATGCCAGGGCAGTCTTCCTCAACAGACGGCATGGAACCAAAGCTGGGTCGACTTTTATATCCAGCTGGTCAGGGGGGCGATGGCACTCAACACAGAAAGAAATGGCAACTGGAAGAACCTGGAACAACTTGTCGATCGACTCATTACGCATGTAGTCCCTCAAGTTCTAGGACCTTTGGAAGCCGATGGTCGGGTCGTAAAGCCAACTTTGATCCACGGCGACCTGTGGGATGGAAATATTGGAACCAACCTTGAAAACGGGGAGCTTTACATCTTTGACGCAAGTGCTTACTATGCACATAACGAGATGGAAATAGCTATGTGGCGTGCAAGGTTCTGCAAAACCATGAGCGCGAAAATCTACCTCAATTCCTATCTCAACCGAATGGGCATCAGTAAGCCCGTGGATCAATTTGAAGATCGCAACCGGATCTACAGTGTATACATGACCCTACATGAATCAGCTTGCCATAACGGCTCGAATTTCCGGGAAGAGTAAGTGACATTTCTTTTACCAATCATTCCCGAATGCTTGCTGATTAAATGCCGTGAAAGGTGCTATGAGAACCTCAACTACCTGGTCAATAAATATGCCCCACTTAACAAAGAAATTAGTCAAAGTAGCATTATCTAGCTTACAATGAGTATCATCTATTCGTAATGCATGTATTGAAAACAACCTTGGACTTGTAGAGAGCCTCTACCTCCTTAGGTACTCTATGCCAACCTACTGTCGGACAACTCACTCGTGCGTGTGTATTTTACTGAGTGACTGATAGTGATTTGCAAGCTAGAAAATCATTTCAATTAGAGTGTATTAGTATGAAGGTAGTTTTTCCCAAATCATGGAATTTATATGTAGGTCCTTCATTTGCAACCAAAGAGTTCAATAATCCCTGCATATTCAATCGAACGAATCACGGTGACCGTTCGATATGACACGATCCCTGCTCTATTATACCCAAAGTATCCATTTTTACCCCTCACAGTACATGATATTGGGCCTTCAGCCTCCTCCCCACATTCCACATATTTAAAGTCAGTATTATTTTACCAGGGCGCAGACCTAGCCATCTTTACCCCAACCTTGTACAGGGCTTCACCATAGCGTCGCTACCATGTCCTCCTCTCGTGATAATTTACCACCACTGATGAATATTCTTACCATTGGCAATGGAACCACACCAGAGCATGCTAGAGCTTCTACAGAAAAGTCTCCTCGACATTTGTATCCTTCTACCCCTACAAGCTCTCTCCCACAAAACTCTGAGGACTCGATTCCACCAAAAGAGATAGACTCCCAACCTCAACAGGAAGCATATTCTGTTTTCGCCAAAAGGGAAAAGCATATAGCGGTTTTTCTTATTACATTCGCTGCGACCTTCTCTCCCTTATCCTCGTTCATATTCTTTCCTGCCATAAACGCCCTCTCTGTGTCCCTCAACGTGTCAGTGGAAAAGATAAACCTCACCGTCACGTCCTACATGATAGTTGCTGGACTCGCGCCAGCAATCGTTGGTGATATGGCGGATATGACTGGTAGGCGGAATGTTTACCTGCTCACTATATTCATTTATGCTGCTGCCAATATAGGATTGGCGGTGCAGAATAGTTGGATAGCGCTTTTCCTGTTGAGGATGATGCAGAGTGCTGGCGGTGCTGGTATGTTATGCCTTCTATTTCAACTCACCCCCATCCTTAGACTTAGGAAGGTCATGAATGTAGGGTATATTGAGTCCGCTAATGAAGAATAAGCAACTATTGCGATGGGGTACGGGGTCATCTCTGACATTGCTCCACCGTCCGAACGTGGCGGCTATGTTGGCGTGGTACTGTTAGGGTAAACACACATCCTCACTCACTCACCACAAATCGCCTTAAAATCACACCGTAACTCTTCTATCTTACAGTCCCAATATTGCAACTGCAATTGGTCCAATTCTCGGGGGAGCCTTGAGTCAAGCTCCTGGGTGGCGCTGGATATTCTGGATCCCCGCTATAGCTTCAGGGATCTGTCTCTTGCTTATCTCTCTTTTCCTACCTGAGACATCCCGTTGCATTGTCGGGAATGGTTCACGAAAGGTTTCAGCGCTCTATCGCCCAATTTTCAGCTACCACCAGTCGAGAAATTCCAGCACCATGTCAGCCCTTAACGAGGAAGAGATCACCCCGCGGAATTTCCGGATTCCCAACCCTCTAGCGACTCTGAAGATCCTCGTGTCCAGGGACAGTCTTCTTATCACTGCCATATACGGTGTCTATTACATGAATTTTAGCTGCCTCCAAGGGTCCCTATCAACTCTTTTCATTGACATCTATGGACTCTCGGAGCTCAATGCAGGGTTGGTCTACCTACCCTTTGGTGTCGGGTCCTGTATTGGCGCATACTGCTCGGGTATCCCTTTCCTTTTTTCTTTTGACTGCAATAAAATGGCATGTAACTGATCATAGACTAGGAAAGATCATGAACCGCGACTACCACCTGACAGCTCGTGCGCATAATCTGGTGATCGACACCAACCACGGCGACGACCTGACTGGGTTCCCTATCGAAAAAGCTCGTTTCAGGAGTATATGGTACTCCATCTGCGCAACAGGGATCTCAACTGCCGGATATGGATGGTCAATACAGTCCAGAACTGTGAGTAATCTACCCAGCTTTGTAAAGAAAACATCAACTATAGATGCTCACGGACCCATAAACCACATAGCATATAGCTGTTCCCCTCGTTCTACAATTTATCATAGGTTTCGCTATAGCGATCACTTTCAATGCAAGTGTCCACCATTTCACTTATGCTTATTCTCCTGAGGAGGCTCACTAATCTTTATTGTTTTGAACTAGTGCTGCGGTACTCTCCTAACAGACCTGAACCCCAAGTCCCCGGCTGCAGCGCAGGCAGCAAACAATATTGTCCGTTGCTCGCTTGCGGGTGCAGGGCTTGCTTTCCTTCAGAGTTGTTTGGATTCAATGGGACCGGGATGGACGTTTACCTTATTTGGTGGACTATGTCTGGCGTGTCTTGGGTTGGCGTGGCTGGAGTGGAAGTATGGGAAGCGTTGGAGACGGCAGTAGTTCCCGAGGTCGAGTAGCAATATTTATTTAATAACAATATACTGTGAATTACCATAAATTTCATAGTACAAAACCAACCTACAGGGGGATTCATTATAATATGAATGAAGCTTCCGCATTCAATATGTCCTATTTACTCACCTTAAATCTAGCATTCAAAACAAAGCAAAGAAAACAATGTGAGGAAAATAGATTAAAACTAAGACTAACGTCACCAAGGCATCGAAGTATATGGAGTACCATGAATAGTAACATAGGGCTGCGTCAATTGCCCCAAACCTCTGAGATACCTACATAGTACCCTACAGGTGATTCGATACAAGCTAGATAAATAGCCGTGTACCTTTGAAATTCAACAAAGGAGTCCATAAATATAGACTCTTTTTCTATTGATGAAACAACATGAATAGTCGGCCACGTTTACAGCCTTGAGATGTCTTTTTAGATGTATGCGAAGGCGGTAAAAAAAAGGCATACTTTGAGCTAGCGACTGTTCTATGTATCACCTGTGATTAAATTGCCAACACTATTTTTAGGTACTTAAATTCATTCTTCCAAGCTTTATAGCTCGGCTACATGCTTTGCACATCTCTATAGCTGTAAATTCAACGCATCATCCTACTTCGATCCCAGATCTTAGATCTAGAGCTTCATTTTTTATTTGAAAAATTACATATGCATCTTGCAAGACATATACATAGTCGTCCCCCAATGTGCAACCTACAAATTGAAAACTGGCAGTCCAAAATGTATAGTTATGATGTTTCATTACGACCCGGTGTAGCTCACCTGGGCACAGATTGCTAGACTAATGATTGGTGGGTCCTCGGAGCTGAGCCGAAGTGGGTTTGTCATGCCATTCTAGTGCACTTCTTTTCATACGAATGACTCAACCGCATCATACACGGGCATTTCCTAAGAGAGCAGCATTGAAAGCAGAGATCAACATGGCTACAGAGGGGGGATTTGTAATTGTGAAGGCATTCTTGCCCACAGTCCCGCTTCCCGCAAATAGCGAGCGGCCAGCAATAACAACGGAACGCTTACTCCTCCGCGCCCTCCAACCAACCGACTTGGAAGCGTTGCACGTCTTGCGCACACAACAAGAAGTCATGAAATGGACGAGTGCTGGGTGTATCGACGAAAGTATTGAGAAGACCAAATCCAAACTTGATCCTTTCCTACCACCAAACGATCTTATTACCGCCAACTGCGCCATCTGCCTGAAGGAAACGGGCGAGCTTATCGGTATTGGCGGCTGTCATCTTTATCCGGCCACGCATGGGTGGCCTGAAATTGGATATATGCTTCGGACAGATGCCTGGGGGAAAGGCATCGCGACGGAGTTCTTGAGTGCCTGGCTACGATTTTGGTCAGAATTACCTCGGACAGAGCGGGAGGTTAGAGTCCAGAAAGAAATGGTCATTGGAGAAGGTGTAGTGGATGAGCACCTCATCGCTATCACGGAAGCAAGCAATAATGGAAGTCAGAGGGTACTGTTGAAATGCGGGTTTGAGCGATTCCGCGAGTTTGTCGAGGTGGATGATACCAAGACCGTGAATCTTGTTGCTTTCCGTTTTCTTCCAAAGCGGTAGATCTTGCTATACCCTCTCTGTACGTAAAAGATAAGAAATCGTTGATATCACAATACAAAGGTCGAAACCTGATCACATTATCGCAGGATGAGCAAAAGCCGAAGAAAATGCCGTCCAAGCTGCTCTAAGAGGTAAGAAAGTAGTTGCATTTGAGCAGTTCGAGCTCGGCCAAGTGCACGGAGCCTCCCATGATACATCGCGAATCGTCAGAACGGCAAACGCATCGCCCCAATACGTCTCTCTGGCCAAATCCGCCTACAAGGACTGGGCTGACCTGGAGAAGGCTACAGACCAAAAGTTGTTAACCATCACCGGTGGTGTTATGTTTTTCCACAAGCGGACATCATATCTCCAAAGCTCTCCAGGATTGCCTCAACAGGTCTCTGTTCCCGCGCATATATAAAACTAGCCCCTTCTCTTGCCTTTCTCCTCTCTTCCTCTAACCATCTGCGAGACATTTTGTACCATACTCATATATAACATCTGGGTTCCTTTTGTCGGTGTCACTGGAGCGACCAATTGGACCTTGGAAATACCAGCGCTGATGCAGCCCAGAGGCGTCTTTTGACCGAACTTTCGAAAGCCCTACGTGCAAAAGAGCAGATCGCTCACGGATTCCGCGACTGGCTCACTAATTGTGCCAACCTTGTTCATTGGAGTAAGAGGTGGCACAAAGACTATATAGCCTCAAGGTTCACATGCACACAGAGTATCTTCCAGTTAGATTCAATCCTTTTTCCTGGCTCCAAAACCACAACTAAAGTAGCCCAGCTGGCAATGCTCGCAGCGTCCAACCAAACCCTAGCTACCTTCACAAGCCTCGCTCAGTCCACCATGTCCTGCTACGCAGAACACGGAAATAACAACGCCCATGCAGCCCCAAGCAGCTTAGCCAGAAGACAAAACTTTACAAAGCCATCAGTGGCTTCGATGTGTATCCTGTCTAGGACCTTATATACATACCGTCATGGCAATAATCGTACGTGCAATTGTTATTGTGGCATTTTGTCCGAGGTTGCGAAACTTGCCATACCCATTGTTGTTGCCATATAAAAATTCATTGGTGTCAACTTGTGCAATAGGCCCTTGGTCCGTGGCTCAGAAGTCACACCGAGGAGCATCTATGATGATTATGGCGTTGATCGACATGTGCGCCTTTGAGTCGGCTTGCCGCCTAAAGCTATCACTTGTCGCTACGACGCTGCTCCAATGCATAGCTCGCCCAGCACTTGGTTTCCAACTTTCAATCTACTTTCACTTCCTATGCACTTTAATATGGTTTTTTTTTTTTTGTAGAGGGCACTCGATAGATGCAGCTGCAACGCTACTAACAGTTCCCAGTACGAGAATTGATCATCCAACATGGTATGACTACATAGTTGGCGCCGACTTCTATCTCGAGGCTAGCTGGGGTTTTCCTAGCTTTAAATGGGTTTTGGTGTTTAATGTGCTGCTTAGCTTCTTTTTAACGAATGTGGGGAATTGAACAATGTTGATCAGGTCACAGGATCGGTAAAGTGATGCCTTCCATCGTACAATTTGGGGAGGGGATATAATTGGGCTTAGTTGTAGTTATTAGTTAAAGGCAAGATACTTTTTGGGCCAACTACATTTCAAAGATCACGGGAGGCTTAAGCCTTGGAGAAGCTGTTACTGATGCATCCTCCCTCGTTGCACTGGAATCAAGTAAAAAAGAACCAAAATAGACTCAAAGTTGTTAATACATATCTCAACACCAAGACCTGGAATCATCTATACAGTACAGAGTCCCGTCGTTTCAATGCAATCGACCGGATACTAAAAGGAAAAGCAAAATGCAATCAGACAGAAGACGCAAGACGCATCGCCCTACTTCTTCTGCCCCTCACCACCAGGAGCCAGACCCGTAAACGGATCAAGACGCAGCTCCTGAGCTGTGATAGGAGTGTAAGAAGTCCGACCCTCCTGTGCCATCTTCAACCGACGCAACTGACCCGCCTCACCAGCACGACCAAGAATGCCCGCAATAAGACAAGTAGCCCGCAGACTATCGTCGTTCGAGGGAATCGGGTAGGTAACACGTGTAGGATCCGCATCGGTATCAATAACACCGATAGTAGGCACATTGTTAAGCCCGCACTCATGCAGCAAGACAACATTCTCAAGCGGGTTAAGGCAAACTACCAAGTCAGGCTTGAGCGACGGGCGATCAGCAAGATCAGACTTGAAGTTAGGCAATTCCTCGTCCAGCGCGTTGACAACCTTAGTCTCACAGTGACCAAGAATCTGCTCGCCGTTCGTCAGAGAGCCCGGAATCCAGCGCTCGAAGATGTGGTAGCCCTTTGCCAGCGACGCCGCCTTAACAACGGCCCGCTTCTGACCCTTCCGTGTACCGGCGAAGAGGATAAGTCCGCCGCGTGCGGCGACTTCCTCAACTACTTTTGCGGCGCGGCGGAGGTGAGCGGCTGTTACGTCCAGCGAGATGATGTGCACACCCTCACGGATACCGAAGATGTATCGCGAGTTCTGTGGGTTCCAGCGTGAAGTCGAGTGGCCCAGGTGGGTTCCTGCTGCGAGCAGCATTTCCAGGGAGATCTGGGATGGCTTGGGAGGGTTGCGGATGACATTTTCGGGGTCGTATGAGGATTTCACGGTTGTGCCGAGTTTTTTGAAGTTGCTTCCTGGGTGAAGAAAAGAAGTTTACAGTTAGTTGATGTGTTGGGGGAATCTCCGAAAAGGAATTCGCGGCTCACTTTGTGGCTCGTCTGATGTGAACTCTTGTTGTGCGGGTGTGGTGGCCTCGGACTGCGCTTGCACCATCTCAAAGAGAGGATTTTCTGGACGAGAGATCTCATCTCTGATAGATGTCTGCAATGTCTCGACTGGGGTTTCGGGCAACGTCGATTGGAAGCGACTCGAAACCGGGGCTCGTCGGCTCAGAGCAAGGAGCTGGCGGCCTGTGTGATGTTGTTAGCAGGGGCATTGAATATGATAGCGGCAATTGGACCACACTCACTCTGACGCATACAAAGCTTCCGTATAATCATTTTGGGAATGCTAAATTGCAGATATGTTTGACAAGGAGGTTACTAGGGACTTGTCCGCTCGAACTTTTGTCGGTCTTGGCAGTTGATGCCTGAGGCCTTACGCTATTCCACTTGGGGTCGTTGTTCTGGCCTCTCCGCCTCAAAGACCAGTGTCTATTATCATTATGATTTACCTTTTACTATTTAGGCTACAGTTTTCTACAAGAAACAATTCAGCGAAGTAATCATGTTGCAATTCTGAAAATTATGGTCAGATCACACGAAGGTGAATCTCCGATATCCGATATCAACGCAGTTCTGCCATGGTACAAGCTCCTTGGGGGCGACGAAAAAAACCCCATGAGAAATGAAAGCGATCTGGCGGAAGAAAAAAAAAAATGCATGCCGACCCATTGCGATAATAACAGCAAAGAAAGAAATTCATGAAAACCGTGTCATCAGGCAGAAAACGTAAGAGGAAAGTCCATCAGAAACCTTCTACTTCTTGAAGAAGCCACCGAGCTGGTCCATCATGGAGCCGCCGCTGCCACTGTTGGAAGGAGGACCGCCATATTGACCGTTGGGAGGGGGGGCGCCGTACTGAGGAGGAGACTGGTCGTCCTTGTGGCGGTGCTTCTTGACGGCGTCTTCAGCAATGCTACCAATAATGGCTCCACCGATTGTTCCGAGGAAACCGTGGTTGACCTTGTGACCAGCGAAGCCACCGGCGGCACCACCGGCGAGGGCACCGGCAAGACCACGCTCTCCATCCTGGGCCTCACCGGGGGCACCCTGCTGCTCATAGCCACTGTAACCTGTTAGTACATGATGAATGAAGTGAAAGGTAATGGAAGCACATACCCCTGGCGGTTCTGGTCGTGCTGGCCATAGCCTTGCTGCTGGCCTTGCTGGTAATAGTCGGAAGATCCACCCTGCTGCTGGCCGTAGCCCTGCTGCTGGTGTTGCTGACCGGAGTAGTAGTCGGAAGATCCACCCTGCTGGCCATAGCCTTGCTGGCCGTAGCCCTGCTGAGGCTGACCGTACTGTTGCTGTTGCTCGTAACCCTGCTGGCCACCGTATCCTTGTTGGCCACCGTAGCCTTGCTGCTGGCCGTATCCTTGCTGGCCGTAGCCTTGCTGGCCATAGCCCTGCTGGCCGTGGCCCTGGTTGTACTGATCGTAGCCGGACATGATGTAAGTTGAATTGGCTTGATGGAAGATTGATGGAAGATGGAAGGTAGAGTAGTTGAAAAGTGAGGAGTGGTAAGTGATGAAGAGAAGTTAAGTGAGGGGCAACCTTTTTATATGAGGTGACTCCAAGTCACCACAGGGCTGACGGTAAGAACCCCACATGGCAAGCGAAAACTTACGGAACGAGGGGGGGCGCAGCGTTTGGTAAGTGTCAGCCATTTCAGCCCTGTACATCTTGTGCATGTTGTGCATCCTCGTTTTTACCGTCATTTTACTAGTTCGAACTTGAAAATCGAATCCCCCAGAACATCCACAGGATGCAGTCAGCCTGATGAAGTTAATTACACCGCCACACTCCACGCAACCCAATACTGTATTTACCTGTGGCTATGCCAGGCTGAGCCTCGGTTTACCCATTACCAAAGATCGCTGCCCAAAATAGATTACCCGGATCTCTCGGCTTCCACGGATCTTCCAGAATCTCTTTCTCCGCTACTGCACACTGACTCTCGGCATTCTGTATTGGGCCATTTTTATTTGGCTGCCTACGCTAAGCCCCTTTATTTAATTTCTGTACGGAGTACCCAGAACACCCGAACGGAGAATCATTACTACTCCGAACTTTTGAAGATGGCGTCATCCCGATATTATCCTAACAACCTACATTGACATCACGAGTCCCAACTTTGTGACTCTTAAAGAGTAGCTCCAGGAGTCAAGGCTATATATATAGCTGACTATCACCTGTAATGATATCGATGACCCATCGACATTAGGGAGCCCACATATCGTTTGACACGTCAATATATCCAATCCATATCCCCAAAACAAGTCGAATTGCATTGAAAACATGACGATAATAATCGGCCGCGGTTGTAGCCTTGTGATGTCTTTTTAGATTTCTTTTCAGGTGTCTTTTTAGCTAGCCTTTTTAGATGTATGTGAAGACGGTAAAAAAAAGCATACTTTGTGCAAGCGACTTTTCGATATATAACCTGTGACGACGATATGTTCAAGTGACCTTCACACGATGGCAAATCGGGAGGTAACAATATGTAACTTAGAACTTGTATATAATTTGACTTCAGGGATGTTGACAATATATATAATATCTTGAGAACATGCGATAGCATGCGACCCAGAATTACAGAACATTATATGTTGTAAATATAGCCTGCAATGGTTATTAACAAAGGAGATGTCATCAGATCACCCTTTGCGCCAAATGACAACCCCATCACAGCCCATTCTTGAACCCGTGGACCACTCAGGTGCTCTCATTTCTGGGGTGTTGGAGGTCGATCATGATCGACGCATGACTGCTTTAAAACATTTGACTATAACACGGGACCTGATCGGATGACAGTAGCTTGGTCCATTCCCCAGGGTCCTCATGTATATTCCACGTTGTACAGCGTACACGCCGCCCCCTGCGGAGTCCGAGATTCCAAATTACATCAGAGATATATTCCGAATATATGGTCTTGATCGCCATTAAATATGATTTATATGTTTCTAATCTACATTTTATGCTGTACAAGTGCTATAAACTTAAACAAGTCACCTTGATCTCTCAAATACCGCTACTTTGTACATATCTCCGAGATCATTATCAATCCCGAGCCGATCAACGGAGTGCAGTGGACATGCAGAGTATGCTAGACCAATCAAATAACCGAGTCATAGCACTTCGACCGGACGCGCGCCTGTAGTTTGTCAACTGCTCATGTGTGCTCCAGAACTTTATGCCCCTTTCAGCTCTGGCGCCCTTGCTGCTGGATGATCATTGGAATGTCATCTGGTGACCCACTCTTTGCTTTTTCAATGTGTCAGCCCTATTTTTTTTTCTTCGGTGTGAGACTCCATATTAGGATACGGACCATGATTTTCCTGCAATTATAACTAGAGCTAAGGGTAGCCGATCGGCATCGACAAGTTTAAGGGGAGGGTTTTGCTTTTTCCACACTTTTATAATTGCCATTCTTCTTGGTTCTTCATTGCTCCTTTGTCCAGGTATTAGCTATTACGCGCTTACTTTGTATATGACCGGGCTATAGTTAGTCTGTGTGCCAGAAATGCTACTGCAATCGGTCCTCTCAGCTTTGTGCTTTTGCCTCGGAATCACGTCCGCCAAATCACACCCAACGGTCTATATGATTCGACATGGCGAGAAACCTCGGAATCCAAACGACCATGGCTTAACCCCAGACGGGGTCAAGCGGGCACAGTGTTTGAGACATGTTTTCGGTCAAGATTCCGAGTACAACATTGGGCATATCATGGCACCTCGTGTGAAATGGGGTATGTTTATAACATGACTCGAGAGCAAACCAATATCAAAGTGCCGAAGTGAAGTGCGAGGGATATTTAGACTCATAGACATGGCTGACACTATGCTTTCTGTCTGTAGATGGCGCGCATGGCCGTGCGTTTGAAACCGTTCTACCCCTTGCCAACGATCTCGGTCTCACAGTTGACACGCACTGCAAGCGCAACAAAGTGAAATGCGTGGCTAAGACGATCAGATCGTATGATGGACCGGGCAACATTTTGATTGCATGGCGACACTCGAGGATGGGTGGGATTGAGGAGGAGCTTGGTGCTTTGGAGCCTATTGAATATCCGGATGAGCGGTAGGTGATTGTATCTTCATGTGTCTCTGGCTTGCTAGTGTCGGTTTCATATTGAGAGAGACGTGCCTGGGAGATGGTTGCCCCATGAACTCTTCGACTCTTCGACTCTCGACTCTCTTCGACAGAAGCTTGTTTGTTTGCTTTGTGTTATGTCCTAGCACTAACTACTTCAGATTCGACCTTATTTGGACAGATACTTGGCCGTATGGGAATGTGACGAATATCAGAAGCGAGGAATGCCCTGGACTAGATGTTAGGACTGGCCTCGTGGATCAGGTTTGATATAGAGATGGATTGGAAGAATATCCACCTTGTTTGTCATCGAGTATATATTCAAGGACTGGATAGAACAATGCATAATCAAGAGATGCACAATCAGGGAGTCAATAGAAGAGAAAGGCCGAAAAGAGCACAAGGGAAAAAGGATGAATAGGAAGAATAAGGTAGAGGGAACACTCAACCGACCTCCAGGAACCTACATCTCTATCAACGCACAGACCAACCCAGCAAAATCATTGTGTGAAGGCGGTGAACCAGCCGAAGCGGAGACAATTGTAGCGCCAAGATTTCTTCCCCCCAAATTTTTCGTTGCGCTTGATTGTCGAGCTTTCCCATCCAGATTTCAATTTCTGTTTACGGGAAACTATTATGGATGATATCGAGGTTTGTGCACTCGGAGAATGCCCCGCAAGGATTGCGAGCTGACTGCCCTCAAGGAACGGCTGCGCAGCCATGCGCAGGCATTTGACGGTCTGCTGTCTTTGATCCCCGCCAAATACTATTATGGTGAAGAAGATACAAGTGTATGTAGCCCTTGTTGCATTTCATAAGTCGACGGCTATGGGATTGGAGTCAGCTTGTGTTCTTGGCTTTATCGTTCATTCCGAAGATCTCTGTCTGACCATCATCCTCATTTTTAGGATCAATGGCAACGCAAAAAGCAAACCAAAGAACAAGCACGGGAGGCGAAGCGGGCGAAGCTGAACCCCGAAGCCGCTAAGACCGCCAAAGACGTGATGGATGAAAACGCACGCAAGCGAAAGCGGGAGGACGGCACCCTCGAGTCCGACTCGTCCGACGGAGAGATGGGTACAGAGACCCCTAAGGAAGGACTGAACCGCGGAACCGCCAATATCAAGAAGCAAAAGCAGGTAGAGAAGACCGATAAGCCAGATACTGCCAAGGCAGCAGAGGCTGAGGCACGGAAAAAGCAAAAGGAAGAGAAGAAGGCCCAGAAGAAGGCCGCCCAAATGGAGAAAAAGAAGGCCAAGGATGCTGCTCGGAAGGAGAAATCTCAGCAGGTCAAGAAGCCATCGACTACCCCAACTGAGGGTTCGGAAAAATCTGCAACCAAGCCTAACGGCAACGTAGCCAAGGACACTGAAGCGTCTGAGGATGAGGAGGATGACGACCACGAAGACGACGGTGTTGTCGAGGAAGGGTTCTCCATTGAGTTCAACGTTGAACAGGAAACCCCTTCTTCTGCCCCTTCTACCACCGACTCTCCTAGCCTCGATGCCTCAAATCCTCAATCCGGCACCTCCTCCACTTCCTCCACCGTTCCTCCTTCCGCCTCCACCGAAGCCAAATCCTCAGAGCCCAAACCTCTCAAGCACACACCCGAAGAGCTGAAGCAGCGTCTACAGAAGCGTCTAGATGAGCTCCGGGCCAAGCGTCACGCTGATGGACTCAACGGCAAGCCTGCACGCAACCGCCAAGAGCTGATCGAAGCCCGCCGACAAAAGGCCGAGCAAAGAAAGGCACACAAGAAAGAATTGCGTGAAAAGGCCAAGATTGAGGAGGAAAAGAAGAACGATGAGGCCATGGCCCGCCGCTTCTCGCCCGGTGGCTCCGGATCGCTCCTGGCCTCTCCCCGCTCTCCTGCCGAGTCCGTCGGCTCCGCCAGCAACAACTTTTCCTTCGGCCGTGTGATGTTCACGGACGGCCAGCAGACAGATCTTACCGGAACCAATGTGCGCGAAAAGCCGAAGACCAACGGCGCTCGTGACCCGGCTGCCCAGCTCAAGGCTGTCGAGGCCAAGAAGGCCCGCCTCGAAGGGATGGACCCCACCAAGCGTGCCGATGTTGAAGACAAGGACCTCTGGTTGAACGCCAAGAAGCGTGCCCACGGCGAGCGTGTCCGCGACGATACCTCTCTGCTGAAGAAGGCCCTCAAGCGCAAGGAGACGGCCAAGAAGAAGTCTGCGCGCGAGTGGAGGGATCGTATCGACACCGTCGCCAAGTCTAAGGAACAGCGCCAAACCAAGCGCGATGAGAACCTTCGCAAGCGCCGGGACGACAAGGGCACCAAGGGCGGCAAGAAGAAGTCTAGCAGCAGTGGAAAGAAGAAGGCTGCTCGTCCTGGATTTGAGGGCAGCTTCAAGGGTGGTGGCAAGAAGAAATAAACAAGCTTCTATCTGGTGGCTTAAATTTATTTCGTTTCTCACTTGCTTTTACATCAACCCGTCTTCTTTTATATTCTTCTTTTTCTTTTCTCTGCATACCCTTCAAATCGGTCTTTGCCTCTTGGATGTAAACATCCTCGAAATGAGATCGCGCACAGAAGCCCCCGAACCGACAAAAAAAAGTGTTTTGAGACTTTGAACTGGGAAATATCCGTCCGGAGATCAAGGTGCCTGGTGTTTGCGTTTGTGTCTTTGGCGGCTTGGTCTGTCAATTTATGTCTATGCATGACAGCATCGGTAGCGATTTGATTTATCTGTGAATACAATATCATTTTCTTATCGGGCTGTATATGTGTTCCTTGTGTCTTTATATGTAAACCTCTAGATCTCAAGATGTACAATATGTATGTGGTTAGCGGGAAAATGTTCCACGCGGATATAAGGGGATCCAACGGATTGAATTTATATATTTGAATTGAATCTCAACCAGAAGAAAAGAGCTGCTAGATTCCACAACATAGGAAATAAAAAGAGACAAGGGAGCCAGTTTTCCAGGGAAAGACATTTCCTTTAGGAATTGACTAGTACAAGATGATAACACAGTCGAGGGCAAGTTATGTACAGTGATGTGATGGGGCTTAAAATCTTTCTTGTTTTTCAAGGCACTAGTAGTGCCTCTTGAATGGATGGGTATTGCGACCAGCATCTTCGTGTCCACACATCTAACATTTGGAAAAGATGTGGATTTGCCTGAAGTTGCTAATCAGATTGGAGGAAAATAGATTATCGGTAGGGAGCATCTGCGCGAGCAGCAGCAGCAATCTCAGGCTCCCACTTGTCACCGTTAGAGAGGAGCTTCTCCTTGTTGTACAGAAGCTCCTCACGGGTCTCGGTGGCATACTCGGCGTTGGAAGCTGAAAGATGAAATATTAGTAAACAGGTCTGAATGCCAATTGAGATGCAACCGGATAGTGTTAAACTCACTCTCAACGATGGCATCCACTGGGCAGCTCTCCTGGCAGTAGCCACAGTAAATGCACTTGGTCATATCAATATCGTAACGGGTCGTCCGGCGGCTTCCGTCCTCGCGCTCTTCGGCCTCAATGGTAATAGCCTGGGCCGGGCAGATGGCTTCACAGAGCTTGCAAGCAATGCAGCGCTCTTCACCAGTGGGATAGCGACGGAGGGCGTGTTCACCACGGAAACGGGGGGAGATGGGACCCTTCTCGAAGGGGTAGAAGATGGTGTAACTGGAACATGGCAACGCAATTAGTTGATATAATTCGATGCCATTGACTTTGGATTGCGATCCGCATCGCCGGCAAGGTTGGGTGGGACAAGGACTTACGGTGGTCTGAAAAACTGCTCGAGCACCACGTACATGCCGCGGAAGATCTCTGCCATGAGGAAGTATTTGCTGGCCTTGTCCAAGGCGGACTCGGAGTCCTGATCCCAGCGCTTGGGCGGGGGCAGGCGGAACCCGGCTTGAGGGGGTCCCGCTGGGGATGCTGCGCGGTACATCGAGGAAGAGAAGTTTGCGGTTGAGCCCAGCAATCCGAAGGGGGTCGGCCGACGGTAGGCGATTAGCCTCGCGACCGAGCGGGTGGCGGCCATGGTTTTGGAGAGGAGAGTGAGGTTGGATATATGGGGGAATCGAGGTTCAATTGGAGGTGGAAGGGGAGCAAGTCTCAGGTTGTGGTGGTTTGCAGGTTTCGGGCTTAGGTCATTCCTTTCTGTCGGGCGTTGATTGGCCCGCAGGATTTTGCTGGGCGCGACCTCACATCTTTCCTCTTCTGCGGCAGCCGTCTTCCCCCAATCTCTACCCTTTAACTCTCCACCATTTCTTTTTAATACTTTAGATCTTTTCAGCCTTTGCGCTTTTCCGATCAATCTATTTCATCATGTTCCGCTCCACCATTGTTCGTTCCTTGAAGGCTTCCGCCCCCCGTGTCATCAAGACCCCGGCTCCCTTCCACATCCGCAGCTCCCCCATTGCTGCCCAGGTCCCTCAATTCACTCCCTGCTTCGCTCAGGGTGTCCGCCTCTACTCCGCCCCTGCCGGTCTGAGCAAGAACGAGGCCGAGGGCCGGATAGTCAACCTGCTCAAGAACTTCGACAAGGTGCGTCATGTTGTTTTCCCCGGGGAATCCCGCCATCTGTCGGCTATAGACGTAAACCAAAATGCTAACTGAATTTGTTTCGTATTTAGGTCTCCGATGCCAGCAAGGTCAGTGATTATCGGTCGGATGGACCGTCGTGACCTTTACATCGCTATGAGCTATTGGAAAGGCGACCGAAAACATTCATCAGCTAAACCCGTTTGACCTGCAGATTAACGGCGCTTCCCACTTCTCGAACGACCTTGGTCTGGACAGCCTGGACACCGTCGAGGTCGTGATGGCTATTGAGGAGGTACGCGCCCAGTTTCTCTCAAGAAGACATCAACTATATATGATATGATGGATATCTAATTGTTTCAACAGGAGTTCAGCATTGAGATCCCCGACAAGGAGGCCGACCAGATCCACAGTGGTACGTTAGGACTTGATGACCTCGGTATAGTTCATGAACCAGAGCTGACATGAATATTACGCATAGTTGAGAAGGCTGTCGAGTACATCCTGGCCCAGCCCGATGGTATGTGAATCCCATAACACCCCTTCTTCCTTAACAATTGCTGACTTCCTCATAGCCCACTAAATATTTAATTTGAAGACTTGGGATCGGTTGGAGAATCGGATAGAAAAAGAATCGGGATGTTGGCATCAGTGGGGTTCGCTGGACACAGTGATACTCAACTGACATGCTATTTTGTATGCTGAATACATGCCAGTGGCTTTTCTTTCCTATATCGTGTATATCATTTGAGTGCAATTTATGCAATTTTGAAGCAGCATTGCTACCACGTGGTGATACTCACCAAATGCGTCTGGAAATTTTTTGGTATATGTTTTCAGCTTAATGGTCCATTGAGCCATTTTTCTGATAAATTCATACTTGAATATGTATATATTTAGGTACTCGTTACCTTTTTATATCATATGATTGTAGATAGATGTATGGCATCTACTAGTAGAGTTGGCTTTGTGGCTACATGTTTAGTTTCAATGAACATGGACAAAAAGATAAAGTACATAAGCATATCGAATTGGAGTAAGAGATCGTAGATATATGCCAAGTAAACTAGATTGTCAAATTTTTTAAAAAAACAGAGCAATAAAATAGAATCAAAACGGAAAGATTACAATCATAATGTCTTTCCACGGGCGTTTAAGCACCCGGAGATACTCAAAGAGCCACATCACCGAACTAACCTACTTTGAACTTCACCCTTTTCACAACTCCGTTCATTGCAGTCGCCTATCCCTCTTGTATTTAGGCGGGTTTAATTCAATATACCCGACACTGTATCAGTTTGGCTAGCCCCTCGGTCCCTGGTTTCCCCTGACACCGAAAGTCCCACTTCACCCGCAGACTTTCGGTCTGAACGGTCCCTCTCAACATCTCACCAACCCAGACAATCCAAACCACCGGCATATAGATCGGAAAGCCTTTGGTCATATCCGGCCATATCTCTCTCCATCCTTTTTTGATCCCCGACGCCAACCCGACCCGATCTCATGGCCTCAGCAGCCGGGGGCTTGACTCGCCGCAGAGGCGCCGGTCGAGTCGCTGGGGCAGACGAACAAGATGACAGCCGAGTGTCATCGCCAATCTCCCGAAATGGCTCTGCGATGGATACCCGTGGACCGGAGACATCGTTTACCAGTGCAGAGAATGGCCACAAGATCGCATTCGACCCCCGCGACATCAGCGAAAACGAGGAACGGGGCAAGCAACCCAAATTGACTTTGATGGAGGATATCTTGCTGTTGGGTCTGAAGGATAAACAGGTGAGTCTTCATGGATATTATCTCATGCCCGATATTGTTCGATCTGTGGTTCCGATCGCTGACCTCGCGCCCGCACCGCAATAGGGTTATCTGTCTTTCTGGAACGAAAACATCTCCTATGCCCTGCGAGGGTGTATCGTCATTGAGCTCGCGCTCCGCGGCCGTATAAGCATGCAGAAGGATTCGTCGCGGCGACGTTTCCCCCTAGCCGACCGCATCATCGAAGTCATCGACGATACATTGACTGGGGAGGTCTTGCTGGACGAGACACTGAAGATGATGAAGTCAAGCGAGAAGATGAGCGTCAACTCATGGATTGATTTGCTAAGTGGTGAGATGAGCTTGGAGCAAAAACATTGGTTGCGACATACTGACCGGGGCTGTTTGTAGGCGAAACCTGGAATTTGATGAAGATCGGATATCAATTGAAGCAAGTCCGGGAACGACTGGCCAAGGGTCTTGTGGACAAGGGTATTCTCCGGACCGAAAAGCGCAACTTCCTCCTCTTCGATATGGCGACGCATCCCGTGGCCGACGGCGGCGCGAAAGACGAGCTCCACCGACGAGTGCGCAATATCTGCAGCAACCGCACTGTGATTATCCCTCCTAGCTCATGGCTCCCCGAAGACGCCGAATACAGATACCTTCGCTCGATCTCCATGGTCTGTGCTGCATACGCCGCCAATGTCCTCGAGAACGCTTTGGTCACCATGAGCCACGAGGCTCGCGAAAGAGCTTTCGCGCAGGTGGACGAACTGCTGGCAGAGTATTCGCAATGGCCGTTTGGCCGCAAGGCTGGAGGTTCACAGGCAATTGGAGCCAATTTGGCTCAAGCTGTCAATGAGGAGATCAATCGAAACAAGGATAAAGAGCTTCAGATGGAGGTAAGCTGCACCTCATACTCAAAACACTTGACTCATGCTACGTGCTACGTGCTAACCAACAAACAGATTGTCGCCGCATGCTTGAGCGTTTTTACCAGACTTGATTCTTTACTTTAACGGAGGTACCGCGTAATACACTTGTCTTTTGTTCTTCACGACTTCTTCTTTCTCCTTGCACCTCGGCCACAAAACTTCGGTTTCTTCTTCTGTTCATGTAGTTTGATCTTGTGGGTTGGGGCAGAGCGTCGCTTTTTTCTTTTTTTTCCTCTCTCATGAAATCATCGGGTCAAAATTTATGCTTGTATGGGATATCTCATTAACTTTGATTTACTTCACCCTTTGTTTTATTCTCTTCTTTTCTTGAATTTGGCTTTTGGTGGCATTGCGAAAGTGGTCTTTGGCCTAACCAAGTAAGTGGCCCAATATTTTCAAATTGATACACAACCCTAGGTTGCCTTCTTCGGCATTGCTTCCTCCTGCGATGTGGTTTTTGTGATATCTTTGTATTAAATGAATGCATAAACATGACAATCTAAGTACAGGCGATATTATTAACCCTAACAACCACCATCCCACCACGCCGACTCCCCGCCGTCGCAGCAGCTCCAGAAGCCAAAAGATCTGCCGCACGGGAAAGATCGACTATAGTAATCTCTTTCCCACGAATCAGTCCCTCTTCCACCAACTCCGCAATCCGCTCCATAGCTGGCCCATCAGGATTAACAGGCACAAACCGACTCTTGATCCCACGCTTCCTCTCACCCAGCAAATCCTTTTCAGGAACAAGTGGAGACTGTTGCGCAACTTGGCCATCCACAACAGTCAACACAGCCCCGTAGTCCTTAACCACACCCTCAGCATGAGCCGCCCGGAATATTTCCCCGCCAGCACAGTCGAGCACGATATCAACCGGCTGCCAGCGGCGCGCGCGGAATACCTTCTCGATATTACACTCGTCCGGCGAAGGGAGATGCGGGATGATGACTATCTCATCCACTTCCCAGTCCTTCTCGATGATGTCGGCTTCGACTTGCGTGCAGGTTACACAGATCCACGGCCGGACGGGCATGGGAAAGAGCGAATCAGCTCGCAGGATCTGAACTGCGATCCGGCCGATGTCATTGTCGCGGGCGTTGGTGACAAGCACTCGGATCTTGGGCAGTTTTTGCTTCCCGTTGCCGTTGGAATTCGTGCTGCCAATTATACTCCCTAGCAGACTACCACGCCGTCCAGGGCTAGCGTTGCCGGTGACTAGGTCGATCAGGCTGCCGCGACGGGTATTGCCATTGGCATCTGCACTGGTAGTGGGATCGACTGTGCTGGAAGCGCGAGTGGCTGGAGCATCGGTGCTGCCTTTAATCAAGCCGATCAAACTGTTGCGGCGAACAGTACTCTTGGGATTGGGGTCGACTGTGCTAGCAGCGCGAGGGATGGTTTTCTTGCCACTGGGATTACCGCTAACGAGACTGATCAGGCTCTCGCGACGCACATTCTTAGGATTGGGAGCGGGATTGACAGCTTTAGCAGCAGGAGGGATGTTATCAATATCCCCTCCATTGCCACTGATGGTACCATTGGCATTGGCATTGCCATTGCCATTGAGTGCAGAGCCGCGGCGACTCCACTGCCAAATCCAACGTCCGTTCTCAGCTCCGCTGCCAGTACCACTGGTAGTATCATTTAGCATGCCGCCATTACCAGCGACCGTGCTTTTGCGATGTCCATAGCCGTAATTCTTGCTACCGAGTACGGACTCGCGGCGTTGACGCTGCCAAAGCCACCGTCCCATCCCATTCCCACCACTTCCAAACTCATCATCCACCTCACCCAGCCCGCCAGGAACATCGGGATCAAGCCCAGCATACCGAAAAAGCGCCTGCCAAGCCGTCAACGCCGGCAACGCAAGCGCCGCCGCCCCAGCAACGGTGATATTATCCGGTTTCAGCGCTAGCTCGCCCTCGGTCGCAACTGCATAGTCTGCTGATCCGCCGTCACGCGTATAGCCTACTACACCGAAGACTATATCGCCGATTTTGAATCTCGGGCCTTCTTCCCGCTCGTCGTCTTCGCGCGGCGTGCCGATGACTGCCCCGCAGAGACTGTGGAGTGGAATCTGCGGTGTCGTGTTTGGGGGGTTGAGGAGTCTGGCGAGGCGGATCTCGTCGTGACAGAAAGCTGCTGTGGTGATCTTCAGCAGGTATTGCTGGGCGGAGGGCTGTGGGGTTGGGAAGGCGGAGTCGAAGACGAGGTTTGTTCCAGTCTGGCGAATGACACTTGTGCTTGTTTCGGGTGAGAGGGCTTCGCTGATTTCTCCTTCTGGGATTCCGTCCGGTGTGTCGCTGTCTACTCCTTCTGGGGCGTAGTAGAGGGCTCGCATCGATAGTGGTGTGAAGGGTGAGTCGTTCAGCGTTGATGAGGAGGGCTTCGCGGGATGTGAAGTGGGCTTTATGGCTTCTGAAGTGCTTCCTGAGGCCCCTGATGTGTGCTTTGGTGGTTCAGGTGGCTTTCTGGCTTCTGGGCTGCGTGTTGGGGGCTCTGGTATATCCTTTGGAGGCTCGTGTTCCACGATGGGTTGCGTTGCAGGTATGTCTGACTGCATAGTGTCATTGGGATCTTGATGCATGTTGTTACTTTATAGAGCGTCGAGTATTTGTAATGAGTTGTAAGGGAGTTGAGGTTCTGGAGTAGGGTCTTCTCTTTTGCCATTTCAGGTCTATAGATCGGAGGCCATTTCCTAATCTTGACGTATGTAGGGCTTAGGTCAACATCGCCACTTGACAATCCCGATCAATTCCACTGCAATGAGCAGCGATTCGATCTTACCTTTCTATTTGACTTGATTTGACATGAAAATATAGTGTATGAAATCTCTGGTTCATGGAAGGTGGATAGGGCGATGGAATATCAAAATCAATGGCACTAGTGGGAAGAAGATGGAAGAAATCTCAAAAAAAACTATTAATACTATATCTTATATCATGGTAAATTGAGAGGTCAGATACATTGAAATAAATGCAGCCTGTTTAAATATCTAGCCCCTGAAGCTGACCTGAGCAGCACATTCTTAGATCGCACTTGTTATAGATCGTTGCTTGCTATAGACCTCCCAGGTACGGTAGACACCATAGTCTAGCAGGTTGGTAGTTTTGCAGTGTATTTCTTATCCTCCAGCCTGCTTGCCTTTGGTGTTTGCCTGCCTTCCGTATCGCCTGGACCTGGCGTGCCGTTCTGATCGCCGGTCAATCCAGGCGATGACTTTTTTATTTATTTCTCATCTCTGACCTTCTCTCTATCCTTATCTTTGGTGTGTGTTCTTCAGTGGATCTCTGGGAAATTTAGAGGAAGTTTGAAATTAGATTGGAATATTAACTTAAAATGGTTAGTCCAACTAAATATATACAGAGTATTAATTACATCTATAACGCCTGGTCCTCCATACCTAGCCCATCAACAAAATCATACAACTCCTCCGGATCCTCAAAGACCGTCCAAATGTGCGATGGCACATACTCAAACGCCTTCTCAAACCTCTCTGGTGCATTCTTCTCTTCCATATGCGCCACATCCCTAACCTTGCGAATAATGATAGCATGAATCCACTCAGGATACCGACTGTACATCTCCGCATAAGCCTCCGGATCCTTCTGCGTTGAGTCCCCAATACAAAGCACCCTCCGACGCGGGAACCACCCCCTAATCTTCTCCATCCGATCAACCTTGTATTCCTGCGTCTTCTCAGTGAAAGACTTGATCAGCCCCGTGATATCCATCCACGAGTAATCACGCAGCACCAGCGTCCCTGGGCTGTAGTGTTCATCCAGGAAGTCATGCAGGAAAGGATAGAGATTATACGGCGACGCGGAGAGATAAAACCACGCAGGGAATAGCTCAGCATGAACATATCTATAGAGCTCCGGCATACCAGCGATGGGCTCAGGGATATCCGCAAACGTCGTGCGAATAGCGCCCGTCGGCTCAAGCGTCATAGTATGCTTGATAGTATCGTCAATATCCGAGACTACCAGCCAGCCCTCGGGCGCGGCAAATGTCATGCTCATCGACACAGCCTCGTCACCGAAATTCTGCAGCCGCGGTCGCACAACAGCCCCGTCGTAAATCCCCACTTCGCCCATATCGACCGTCTGGCTGACAATGCCGTTCCGGTCGGACGGGCCGAGTCCGTGCGACTGCGCCGGCCGGAATAGGGGTATCTGAAGCGTGACCGTGCGCGCTGGTGAGACCTGGTTGAGGAAAGGCTGGACGCGTTCTGCGATGCGTCGACGTGTTTCGTCGTCGCTGCCTACCTCGCCGTCCAGCCCAATGTGGTCGGCGATCGCAGCAACGAGGTTGCCCACGTCTTTTCGGCCTTCTGTCTCGAAAATGCAGGCGACTACCTCAGCGTGCCAGCACGGCTGGTTCTCGTCTGTCTCCTCATTTACCGGCTGGTACGCTGTATTGTCTAGCAGCCACACGGTGTGCTCACGTGGGTCTGCTGGCTGCACGAGTGGGTTTTTAGGACCAAGAAATGACGAGAAGAAACTTATGAAGGCTGAGCTACGTTTCTCTTGTGTTGGTGTTGGAGATGTGGGAGTTGAAACCTCATGGACCTCCTTTTTGGCCTCAGCGACCGACAAATCGTCTGGACTGTGGTGCGGCATGATGCGCCGACTTAGCTTCTAGTTTCAAATTTTGAAGCGTTTTCTATAGTAAAATAGTGATAGAATTAGTCCCGAGGGAAATCTCCGAAAAGCACATGTCAGGGCGCAAAGATGCAAAGAAACAAAAGTAACTCATTAGGGGAGAGACAATCATATAGCTAGCCCCCGTTAGTTGACGATCTAGCGTTAGTGCCATCCGGTGCTTCCCCACCTGATCTTGTTTGCCTTTGAAGGCACTCGTATTGATGTCATATTTGGAGTGTAGACACAATATTTAGACGGGTGACAGGGGCAGGGCCATATCAGTTGTCAGTTGGTCAGGTCAGGCGAAGCACTATTGCGGGGGGTGGCTTGGCAGTAGGGCTGAGCTCCCGATGATGTTGATGAAGTTGATCAACCTGATGAATCTGATGAACTGGTCTTTTTGATTTTTAACCGGGTGATTCTGAAGCACTGCAACGTTGCATGTTTGGGGGCTTTCAAGTTATGACGTTCTTTTATGATCAATTTTTCGCTACAGATTCTCCATGACCTCACATAGCGTTGGAATGTTTATCGCATCTATCTCATTTAATACTAAAAGGAGCGAGATTTAGTATATGAATATTCCACAGTCGCTGGAGCAGAGCTTACAACTGGTAAGAATTGTCATCACCATGTATCATGTCTATATTTAGTGACCATCCGGTTAATTTGTATGAAATGTACAACATCCAGACATATCAGATCATTCCTGCAAAGGGTATCCGTATCCAACCAACATAGCAGGCTCATCAATGCTATGATGCTGATAACTGTAAATAGAAAAAAAAGTTAAATGCCAGGCCAGTGAAGTAGGGTAAAAGACAATTACCTGAGGACGCCAACAGCGCCAGGGTCGAGCATCAAAGAAAGGGGGAACTCCATAGGATATCCCAGCCAGCGCTTGGTAAAGGCACGAAGCAAATGTCCGTGTGCAACCAGCAGGATATCAGAAGGGTTCTCTCCGTGCATGTTGTCCTTGTGGATTGCGCGAATCTCTTGGATGAGATTATCAAGACGGTCCGTCACCTCTTGCGCAGACCTGTATTGACCTGGTTAGATATACTCGATCGTGGGCAATTGGATATAATCCCAACAGAGGTTTTTTTCTCTTTTTTTAAAAAAGAAAGACTTACTCTCCATTTTCGCAGCCGTCTCTCCAGATATCCCACTCGCTCTCGGTATCCAGACCGTGCTCCTTTCTCAAGGCCCGGATTTGTTTAGTCAACAGACCTTCATACAAACCATAATCCCACTCGGCCAGTCTGTCTGTCTCAGAGACCCTCTGCGTATCTTTGAGCGCCTGCTTATCGGCATCAGAGAAAGCAATCTCAAAGGTCTGCATTGCTCGCCTGCGAGGGCTGATGTAGACATGCGCAAGTTTGGCAGGGTCAATCAATCTTCCAGATCCGACAATCATCTTGCCAGATGCATTGACCTGGTTAACACCATCTTGAGTGAGCTCAAGCTCAGTGATTCCGGTGTACCGTCCGTTCTTGGACCATTCCGTTTGTCCTATAATCGAGTTAGATTACAGAAGAAGAGATTGACGTTCTGGGACATACCGTGTCGGTAGAGGAAGACACGGGGTGTGCTAGAGTCTTTATCGGGCATGTTTGCACTATTGTTCCAGGGTAGTCCAAGGGTGGTTGTTGAAAGTGGGTTGCGGGATTGTGGGAAAAGTGGAAAGGATTTCCGTTCCCGGTGAGTTTGAACCTCACCCGCCACGTGTGCTAACTTAACTTGGAAGTAGAATGGTAGAAGATTGACCTTTTATTCTATTTAAATGTGTATTTCTAAATAAAGCTGGTTGTGTAGTAGAGTATTGCTAAATGGGGTACTTGATATCTATGATCTTGGGGGCGATTTTGCCCCGCCATCGCGGGGTTAAGGCTTTTTTTATAGTGGGATTTTATAAGTGAATGATGCCTTGAACCATATAGAGGGATTCAATATTCATAAGTATTAAACTGATATATATATTAAGAGCTTCAGTCTCTACAGCCTGGAATATATAGTTCTTTGGTTTTAAGCATATATGCCACTAAACGAGCGCTGAGAGACTCTTAGTAATGGTTGATTACATAGAGAAAGCTCGGTAAAGTAGTGTCTCATCGACAATGCCCTTATGTTGAACCTGGCAGATATATTCTTTTCTTGGTATTACCCCTGTCGAAAAGTCCCCCCAATCTAGGAAACAAACATTATGTACGGAAAAATATCAGAATAGCAAAGGCCCAAGCTGATTATTTGATGATTGAAGTGGTAAATACAGACCTTGATACATAGATCAAATCTCAGACATAGAGATCATTATCCCATTGATACCTTGCATATCCCGTTCAACTTTCGAAATTGAATTTTTTTAGCCCTTGCATATTATTTAAGGTCTTGCGTTTCCACAAAGTCTTTTGTTATGTTTACAAGAATCACATAAGCTCAAGCAACTTGATATCTGAAGCCGATAAATCAGATTGTATAATCCACTTGAATTCGGTGTCAAACCCGACTTGAGCAGGTAGGTGGCATATGCAAATACACCTACCTACAGAGCGAGACTAATCTTAGCATATAGTCAACGAGGTTCCTCCAACATTCCAACATGCCTTCAACAATTTCGACCGTGGTATTCACTCCATCATCATCCCGACGTCGAAACGCCCTCAGATACGCTCCCAACCGGAAGTACCGACCCAGTCGAGCTCCCATCCGTCCGGTCTATATGGATGCAAACCCGTTCATTTGTCACACTTCCTCGCACTCTTTGACGCATTCTTGGCCCAAACATCATGCAGTCGATTGCCCGCGGTGCCATCGACACCATAGCGTCAGCTTCTGCAGACAGCAACGGTAGTAAAAAGGATTTGAGCGTGGAATCTTAATTTGGGACAAAATATGATTGTAATATGGCTAGGCTGGGCTGCATCCAAATATCATTTTCTGCAACCTGGCTGGTCATTTGACTTTCGAAGTGATAGTGATGTGAATTCTATTTAATATAACTCTTTGTCAAATTTACTTTAAGCTTAGTGGGAAAATAATGTACAATCTTCGAAGGGAGGATTCGATAGACACAGGTAGGTGTTTAACCTGTAAATCTCCCACTCTTGTTCGAACTATACGGTCAAATCCCATCTGTGATATGAGATATGCCTGACAAGTCTGATATTCTTCTAGAAACGAAATATTAGGGTTATTTCATTAGGATCCCTTGCCCCACGGGCATTCAAAACTACAAGCTTCATTACCATACATCTTTGTGAAAACAATAAGCTCTCCTCTTCTGTCCTAGTCCCAGCAGGACGTGCATTCCCGACTATTCTCTCCCGAACATTCAAGCAACCAAGCCACATTTTCATTTTGTTCCTCAAGATCGCCAGCAAGTTTTCGTTTCTGAGCCTCGAGCTCGAAGATCGTGCTCGTTTGTTCGTCAATCATGATTTTCTGTCTATCGAGCTTCATTCCCTGTATTTTGACCTTACATGATTGTTCGTTGAATCGAGACAATAGTTCCGTATATAGGTATTCAAACTGCGTTTCATCTTCAAGATCGAACAGCATATCTGAATCCTCATCATCTGCTGTCCATTGTTCAATGATTTCAACCAGATGCACTAGGGTATTGTGGCTTGGCAGGAGAAACTTCCCATCGTCTAGTGACATATTGTTGATCAGTTCTTCTTGGTACTCGAGCTCTGATAACATTGTGCTGGCAAAGGCACCAAAGACTTCCTTGATCTTCGTACCTCGCTTTTCCAGCGCAGATGCTATGTTAATGTGATCCTCAAGATCACGAACCAGCATATCGTTCTGGAACTCGAGATCAGAAATCCTGTTTGCCTGTCCCTCAAGATTAAGAACCGGCTTTCTGTTTTGGCCCTCGAGGTCGGAGATCCTTTTTGCCTGTTCCTCGAGAACATAAACCAGCTTTCCTTTTTGGCATTCGAGGTCAGAAATTTTCTTTGCCTGTTCCTCAAGCTCGCATGTAATATTTGCCGTGTGTTGTTCAAACCGACCCATGGCTTTTTCGTGCTTCTTTCTGAGGTCGAGGATAATCTTCCCCTGTTCCTTCATCTGATGTCTGAGCTGTGCATTTTGTTCCTGAGAGTCCTTGAGCTGTTTCTTCATCTCATGTGTTAGCTGCGCGTTTTGTTCCTGGGAGGACTTGAGCGTGTCGTTATGCTGTGGTGACATGGAACCACATGGCGGTCCAATATCATTGATCAGGCACTGCGGATTAACTGAAGATTGTCTCCATTCCGGTTCTCTGAGGAGTAAGTGGTTCGCGTTTTGGTTCTCCTCTTCGAGGTCGCGTGCCACCTTTGTATTTTGCACTCTGAGGTCAAGGATGGCCATCACGTCCATTTCGTTGATTTGGGCCGACCTGTCGCCGGCGTCCGGTGTTTGATGGACAGATGTGCCTCCTGTGAGTATGCTTTCTTATTGTATAGGGTAGGCTGAGTTGGCAAGTGATAAGACTTCGCAAGCGATGGGTATGCAAGGTTAATATTTTTGGGAGTGTTAATTGAATTTATAAGTGTGTGTAAGGTGAGTGATTCCTGTGAGTTGACTTGAAGGACAGACGTCTTATATTGCAAGTTGTCTAGGTCTTGTTCCGATGCTATATTTGGCCCGGAAGGCATAACTATAATTTGAGGAACTAGTCCAACCTTGGAAAAAAAAATCGTGAATTGGATGTATGCCATCCATGGATGATACCTGGTTCTTTTCCCTTTCCTGTGCATATAGGCCCTCGCTCGCCGAGTATAAAGTAAGACAGATATCGTTGCAATGAGTCATAACACATAGAGCATGGAAACAAACATATTTGCAGCTCAATAACCAAGGAGCGGATATAAATGATCCCGTGAATTGACCGAGGCGCGAAGATGATACCTCCCCAATGACGAGATGGCGAGTGGTAATACTGGGTACCAGAATACCAGACTCGAGTTGAACGGACCGAATGCACTTGCTAGAGCAGTGCTCGCAAGCGACAAAGAAGTCCATGGGCGTCGCAAGAAGAGAAAACACCCAAGATGCCCCAGAAAATGGCGATAGCCTTGAGAGCAAGAAGCTAACTAGAGCCCGCTGAGTGGGCCCGCTGGGTGAGTGGATAATTGATGCTCAATAGGTCTAACTTTCACCATTTCTTCGGGGCAGAAATCTCCGCGCGAGAGAATGACCCAGAGATTGTCTCCTTTCCTTTGCGCTGCTGAATCGCTTTGATTCCCGTGCGGTCGGTGACTGTGGTCGCATTGATGATATTGTCGAATGCCTCATCCTCGCTTCCTCCTGAGCCGGACTCGGCATCTGAGTCGACATACAGCTGCTCCGGCCGAGAAATTTTCTCTGGTTGCTGCGTTTCCTCTTCTTCCGGATTCTTGAACGATTTAGAATTGAGAATCTTGCGGCGGATTTCGGCCATTTGCTCTTCATCTTCGGAATCATCGGAAATCGCGAATGGGTCCTTGTCTTCATCTTCCTCTTCGTCGCTGCCCTCATCTTCGTCATCTTCGTCTCCGCTTTCGTCGTCCTCGTCGTCTGAAGTTCGTGCAGGCAAACGATTAGTGTTTCCTTTGGTCCACATATCATCACCTCCATCGACACGGCTGTCTTCGTATTCGCGTTCGATTTTAGTTAGCCATTCCTCTTCAGTCCTCTTTACGTCCTCTTCCGTTTCGCAGGCAGCGTAGCGCGCTAGAAGCTCTTTGTTGATTTCCAAGAAAGATGGCCCATAGCTGAAATGTCTGAGCAGATCTTCCGCCCATTCCAAGCGACGACAGATGGCGAAGCAAGCGGCGAGCGCTTCGACGCAGTTCAGACGCCATGGTTTGCCGTAGTTGACCGTGTTAGCGGCGATAAGGTAGGGAACTATATATCAAGATAATTAGCATCCTATGCCTCCAGTTCATCATTGCCCAATTCTTATCACATACGAAGTCGTTCACATTTTCCGCCGATCCGCGACCAGGGCACTTCCTTGACTCGCACCCAAGAGCATTCCACCACGGCAGCACCGTGCTGTTCCAGAATATCTTTGTCTGCGGGAGAGATGATTCGCTTGGCATTTGGACTAGATAATCGTCAGTATGCAAGCCAAGACAACCAAAAAATCCGCTGCGAAACATACGAGACGATCACGCCGGGGTGCCGTTGGCCAATGTGAAGCTCCCGCATCAGACCGAGCTTCATCAGTCGCTTTCCTGAGCATCGCTTGGGGTCGCAGTGGCCCATATCCCAGCAGGCAGCCTTGTAAGGAGGCCTCGAGGAGGTCGCACCTTCAACTTCTTCATCACCGCGGGGCACTCGGGGGCGGGGGTTGCTGTTGAATTTCTTGCCTCCTCGCGCAAAGTTGTCTTTTTTGTGGCGAACCATGGTGGATGATAAGATCAAGATTAAAAGAGAAGATTCAAGAATACCCAAATTGGAGTATCTTGAAGTATTTTGTGGTGGTAAACGTAGTGATTAAAAAAAAAAGATCCAAGGCCAAGCACAGGCGCCACACGTGCAGGCTAATCGGGTTCTCCGCCCGCCTCCCCGTCCGCGACTGTACACATCTCCTCTGGATCCTTGTGCTTTCCAGTACCTCCCTCTTAATCCGATTAATATCCTTTCCCCCTTGTTTCCTTGTCTACCGCCATCCTGGAGGCTGCATCTGCACGAATGGCGGCTAGGGACCGCTTCGGTGTCTACGCTGAGCCAGGCGCTTCGCCGTTGCAGCGGGCCATTCGTGAGTTCAGTGTTGGAATGAATGTAACACAAATAATTCATACTGATGCTTAATTATCTACAGGAAATGCCTGCGATCCTCAGAACTACGAGCCAAACCTGGCCCTGAACCTCGAAGTTGCGGATCTAATCAACTCCAAGAAAGGCAATGCGTAAGTGAGAACACCCATGTTGTATGGCGCACACTCATAAATTGTTAGGCCCCGAGAAGCCGCCTTCGATATCGTTCATCTTATCAATTCCCGAAACCAGAATGTCGCATTGTTGGCGTTGGCGGTACGTGGAGAGCTCAACTGACAGCTGGCGCGGGGGAGACTGACAACCGGGGTTTATAGCTACTCGATATTGCCGTCAAGAACTGCGGATATCCGTTCCATCTCCAGATTGGCACAAAGGAATTCTTAAATGAATTGGTCCGCAGGTTCCCCGAGCGGCCACCCATACGGCCCTCCAGGGTCCAGCACCGCATTTTAGAGTCGATCGAGGAGTGGCGCCAGACTATCTGCCAGACATCGCGCTATAAGGATGACCTAGGCTTCATTCGAGACATGCACCGTCTGTTGCTTTACAAGGGTTATATGTTCCCCGAGGTCCGCCGAGAAGACGCCGCAGTCTTGAACCCAAGTGATGTAGGTGGCACCCCCATGGTATTGTTTTCGGACTCGAATTAATGTCGGCTAGAATCTCCGCTCAGCGGATGAAATGGAAGAGGAAGAGAAGGAAGCACAGTCTGCCAAACTCCAAGAGTTGATTCGGAGAGGCACTCCTTCCGATCTACAGGAAGCGAACCGGCTTATGAAGGTTATGGCTGGATTCGACAATCGGCATAAAACTGACTATCGAGCAAAGGCCGCGGAGGAGGTTGTTAAGGTGCAGCAAAAAGCCAAGATTTTGGAAGAGATGCTGCAGAATCAACAGCCCGGGGGAGCTCTCCCCGAAGGCGACGTTTTCGAGGTAGGTGATACAACGTCACGCGTGTTGTTTGCTAGTTGATTGGCCTCTGATTCTCTTACCAGGAACTTGCGAGTGCTTTGCAAAGCGCTCACCCCAAAATCCAGAAAATGTGCGAGGAAGAATCGGATGATCCCGAGGCCGTCCACAAGTTATTGGAGATAAACGACAGCATACATCGCACAATCGAGCGGTATAAGCTGGTTAAGAAGGGTGATCTGGATGCTGCATCTCAGATCCCCAAGGGTACACTAGGCACCACTACTGGAGTCTCAACAAATGCAAACAATGAGCTCTCTCTTATCGATTTCGACCCGGAGCCTGAACCCAGCTCCAACAGTAACGGGGCCGGACCATCCCAGGGTGGTAACTCTTTGGAGAATGACTTGCTCGGCCTTTCATTAGGTGAGCAAGGTCCTTCTCCCGGAGGTGGCATCTCTCTCGGATCTTCTAGTAAGTACCGCGGCACAATATTTCCCAAAGCACCCCCACTGACCAATATCAAAGTGAATTTCCCGTCTATGTCGGCAAGCTCAACGCCGCCTGCTCCATCACAACCTCAGCAGCAGGCGCCAACAGCCTTCAAACCCAATTATGATATCCTCGCTTCTATGAACAGTTCGCGACCTGTCTCTCAATCTCCCACACCCGTTATGGGTGCCTCGCCCCAAGCCCAGTCCACAGCGAGTCCGCCACCAGCGGTTGACCCATTTGCATCGCTCGTCTCTGCCAGCCCACGGGCAACGTCTAGTCCCTTCCAACCACCGGCGCAAAGCCAACCTACTCCCGCTTCGTCGTCATTGCTTGACCTGGTCGGAGGCACGGGTCCGTCCCCGCAACCGGCGCGGCAGGCCGCTCCAGTGGAAGATGATGAGTGGGATTTCGCATCCGCATTGCCAGCGAGCAATGCACTTCCATCGACCAACAAGATCCAAGTCCTTAACTCTCAGCTTCGTGTTGACTTTGCCGCGCGCCGGATCCCTAACCAACCACGCCAGATCCATGTCGTAGCCATTTTCTCAAACACAACTAGCCAACGTATTGGAGACCTCCATTTCCAGGTCGCCGTGGAGAAGGTAAGCCATTTTCCACTATTACCATCGTGCACTTTCTAGATGAGTTTGCTTACAATTAATTAGTCATACACCCTCCAGCTTCGGCCGCAGTCGGGCCGAGACATTGCACCCCAGCAGCAAAATGGGGTACAACAGGAGATGCTCATCGACGGAATTGAGGTTGGCAAAGGCAACTCGGTGAAAATTCGGTTCAAGGTGTCTTACAAGCTTGGCGGCGAGGCCCGTGAGGAGCAGGGAATGGTGCCACCGCTGGGAATCGCCTAAACGGAGTTCACGCCGATCCCTGAACTTTATCTTGCTGTTATCGTTTGCGTCCGAGATTTCCCTCCAGATCTGTCCGATGAGAGTTTGCCCCGAGCGGACAATATAGCACTCCCGTTGAATCCTAATTTTCATGTATTGATGCTGGCTTTTCCAATCTAGCGCAGCATCATCGGCGAATTTGGCCTTTGTTTACCCTTGATTGATGTCCTTTTTCTTTGGCTTTGCACTCATTGAGAACTTAGCGTCTTTTACCTATTCATGCTGTTTACTGTTTATAAACAAGATTTCATTTGCAATGGTTTTTCTCTCGTGGCAAGGGGATGGTGTGCGCGGGGGTGGATT